CTGATAAATAAATGGATTTAAACACTCTCAAACAATTACAAAGAAAAGTTTCAATTTAATTTAGGTAACATTATTTAAGAATGTAAACGTACAAACCGCCACGTGAGGAAATAAAATAAAATTAACTACAATATGTCACGTGGTTCAAATCCTTTCTGCAAACTAAATTGTTATTGGTATAGGATCAAATTATGAATCTTTTTCGGTTTTCCTCTCCCCTTATAATTCTTCTTCTTTCAATTTAATAAATGGCTTGTTTGCGTTTTTCGCAGTTGGAAATGAGATATTAAGTCTCATATCGAAGAAAAGTGTCATTCTTTAGATTCGAAAGAGAAAGAACTTCGTTCCTACCTGGTGTCCCACGACACCACATCATTTTTCCTATTGGCTGACAGCGGCCCCTTTCCTGTCTCCCGTAGGACTTAATAAGTAAATTAATTAAGTTTTCTTTTAATAGTTTAGAAAGTTTTTAAGATTTTTTTTCCAAAGAAAAGTAGAGATATAGGACCGAATCTGCGGCGCAGTATTCGTCCTAATTCTAGAGAATTAAGGTTTCATCGCGACATCGAATTATCTACATTAGAAAGCATAGAAGAAGAAATGGCGACCGAACAACAATCTGTAGCTTATTCAAACGATATGACAGAAAGGATTTGGAAATCTTTAAGACTAGTCCCTGAGTTTGATGGAAATTCGAACATTTTAATTAGATTTTTGAACATTTGCGACCAACTGATTTTAACATATGTTAATCCAGCTCCGGGAAATGAACTAAATAATTACGCTTTAATTAATGGAATTTTAAATAAAATAACCGGGCCTGCTGCTAAAACATTAGCAACAAATGGCATCCCCCAGGACTGGAATGGCATAAGAAATGCGCTAATTAACAGCTTTTCGGATCACAGAGACGAGTCCGCCCTATACACCGATTTATCTATGTTAACTCAAGGTTCCGATACACCGCAAATATTTTACGAGCGAGTTCAAAATTTACTTAGTATAATTATGACTTATGTAGAATTACACGAACAAATTAAAACAACAGTTGAGGCTAAACGTGAACTTTACAAAAAAAATAGCTCTTCAAACATATACCAGAGGCCTAGCCGAGCCTTTAGGCTCACGTGTCAGGTGCATGCGCCCCGACTCGCTAGAAAAGACCTTGGATTTCGCCCAGGAAGAATTAAACGTGTTATACTTACAATCGAAAGCCAGTAACCCGCTAATTTCTAAGAAATCGATTAACAATGCCCCGTTTAATTACTCACCTTTTAATTCGCATGACTCACTTATGCCTTCGAGACAATTCAATTCTGGAATGCTTACACATCAATTTAAACCTTTTAAATACCATTTCATGCAACAAGCCACTTTCCGTAATAATTTGTACCGAAAAATATAAGACCTTTCGGATAGTTTTAATAAGCATATTAGTTTATATAAAGAAATGATCATCCAACAAACTCAAAATTTAAATATCTCTTCAAATCAAAGAAAATTAGAAAAAGCAATAAGTTCAATAAGTAATACATCTGTAACTGAAAAAGAACAGATGTATCAATTTACACAGATTTCCCAATTATTTAGCATACTTACGGAAAATATTCTGGAACTCTCATCTGAAATAAGTAGATTAGGTAATATTTTAGCTTTTAGTCGCACAAACGTAATGCACCATTCTATACTATATATAAGTGATTTAAAAAATATGTTAACACAGCTTAAAAATCTATATAATCCCAATGCGTTACTAAACTTAGATGTTAGGTTTTATTACGATCTAATTACCTTAGGATCATATTTTATTGATAAGAAAATTGTAATTGTCTTGAAGTTTCCTATAATGTCTCTAGAAACGTATGACCTTTATAGACTCTGTCCTGTTCCTAATAAAAACTCAGAAATTATCCTTCCACCATTCCCATACATGGCATCCAATTCCCAGGAATTTGCGTACATGGAGGCTGAATGCCCGAAGATCGACACCTGGTACATATGCAAGCAGCAGCTTAACCATCAAACCCGAACACGCAGTGACTGCGTCTTCAATCTCATTTATCATCAGAATACAGGAGAGTGCCATCCTACATCCATATCACTCCTGAAGGAAGCACTACTAGAATTGGACAGTTAACATTATATTTTATCATTACCTAACAAAATCAAAGTAAAAATATCATGCGGACAAGAAAAATATCATCTGTTAAAAGGAAGCTACTTCGCAACGATTCCCCGAAATTGCAGCATTCACACACCAGAATTCACAATTGTTAATACTGATGACAAATTTCGTGGGCAACCTGTTGAAATAATGACATTCCCACACTCGACTCCGATGTCAGCAAATTCGAAGAAAAACTTACCACATTATAATTTCACAACAATTGATTTGAACAAATTACACAATATTCAACATCAATTACTCATGGACCCACCTGTTAGAATTAACACCGTGGATTTATCCAGCTTATATCACACCACGATACCTACATACGTCATCATACTGTTAAGTGCACTTGCACTCATTAGTGTGGCTTACTACCTGAGACGGCGTAAGATCCAACAGCGAGTTAAATCTACACAGCCTCAAGAGATGGAAATGGCATCAGCGGGTTCTACACCATCCATCGAAGAAAGAAAAGCCGCAACATTTGCTCTCAATCTTCGCAAATAGTTGCTCATCTAGGAGGGAAGGTGTTACGAGTACAAGACTCGTCTACGTCACTCATACGTCACGCGTACATTATGTGTTTCCCAAGTGCAGGTGGCTCGATTGAGCAATCGTGTTGAAAAGTGCTTATTAGACAGATTTAGTTAATGTAAAACCTTCGGACAGTTTTGGGAGTTGCTTGAGCTTCAATCGTGGAAGCATCTTGACGTATAGTTTGTAAGACCGGATCATCGGGATCAATTAGTATAAGTAATTTTGTAAAACATTTAAATAAATAAAGTTAAAATTTAAAGTTTAGTTTTTAAAAACCCTACCTGACGGCTCAATTCCGTAATTTGCGACTAGGAACTTTAAACAGCAAATATTTAATTGTTGCTATTGACTTGGAGTTTAGAACATTACGTGAAGTAAAAAAAGTAGATGCTCGCGTATATGATTAAATTTTTTCATCTTGGCAAACACTTAGTATTATTAATTTGTCGGAAAGCCTGATGCAGGTTAGCTAAGTAGTCCGTGCATTGTTAATTGATATATTTTCCCCGGAATAACGGGTAAGTCCAATATCTTACTAGTTAGGTCGTAGGTCAAATTTAGGTTTTTTTATTGAATTATAGGAAATATGTGTAATTGTTTCTAGGTCCTTTGAGGTGGCTAATTAAAACAACAGTATACGATAATTGTAATTAATTAATCCTGCTTGGAATTTCTTTGGATATACATACATAAAGAAGTACGCTATGTATATATAAATGAGCCTGTGAATGCAATCTTGATCAAACAAAGAACACATGTGATGACAGCAGATTCTGTTACCACCCACGTGGATACCTGAATCGCTTAATGGTACCAATATCTTGAAAGCTAAGTAAACTCTCAACCTATCTAATCGTTTACCAGTGCATTCTCCGAAGTACGAAGTTTCAGATTGTTAAAACATAATAAAAGATTTGTTGTTGTAAACTGTAGATTCATTAACGAAAGTAGCTTCATATTTGCCAAACGAATTGTTTCTTTAGAATCTTAATATAAATATATTTGTATGTACGATACTTGCTAAAACAAAATGTTTTCTTAGAATATTAACATTAATATAACTGTATGTACACCTGTTTTGACTGTATGTTCGTCACTACTTAAAATTTGTAAAAGCCATCCTTCAAAGATATTAATTAATAATGTTAAGTGAGTTAATATATGTTGAAATTTAAAACTGAATATTAACAAAATATATCTTGTTCACTGCGGTTGTTGATTTTTTCATTTTATCTCCCTCAAATAACAGTATTACGGCGCCCTGATTAGATATTAGTTAATTTCGAGTTTCATGCAAAAGCCCTGAAATAGCTGGTGATAACAAAAATTGTTACAAATTTTCGCCTATTTATCACGTTTTTATCCCTTGTATTTTCAGTTATCGCTATTATAGCACTCTTATTGCTTTATTATACCTCTTAACCTATTCTGTAACTCTTATTTACCGCAATTAAACAACCTAAGATGATAAAAAATGTGTGCCCATTTCGGGGGTACAGTAGTGTTATAGCGCGCTCTAACTCTAATAGGTAACACTTATTTATAACTTTAGGATCTGGTTAGCTCTTTAATAGATTTACTATAACTCTTGTCTTAGCGCCTAAGTGTTAGTTGGGTATCTACATACGCTTTTGTCTGTACCTTTATAAGTACGTTATTTAATTTTATTTCATCGTGAAGTTCATGCTTACTGTATCTAGTTCAATTAATTACTAATAATTTTTTGTAGTAACAAAAAAATTTGCTAATATTTTTACTAAAACCACACAAAATAGTAATATTTTTTCAGAAAAATAATGAAATACGAAAGTGCCCATGAATATAAATCCTCAAAAACTAATATTACATCATCATAAAGCTTCAACCACCAGATTTAAAATATTGAGAAAATCCAATTCAATTTTACATAAAAAAGTTTGATATGCATAAAAATACTACTTTTCAACATAATAATGTAAGGTCCGCTTGCGGCAATTTTGCTAAATCTCAATTCAACTAAAACTGTTTACAAGCCATACAAAAACATCAAACTGACATCGAGACATACGTTTTTCTATAGTTTAACGCCAGTTTTAGTCGAGTGGAGATTAAGCAAATCAGCCTCGCGCGTCGGGAAGGGCCGCAGGTCGCGGGGCCCTAATACCGACCTTTGAGTGTGCCGTCATCGCTGCCAGTGACCAGATACTGCCCGCTGGGGTCGGGCTGCAGGGCCCGCACGGGTCCCGCGTGTCCCCGGAACTGCAGCGCCTCGCGCGTCGGGAAGGGCCGCAGGTCGCGGGGCCCTAATACCGACCTTTGAGTGTGCCGTCATCGCTGCCAGTGACCAGATACTGCCCGCTGGGGTCGGGCTGCAGGGCCCGCACGGGTCCCGCGTGTCCCCGGAACTGCAGCGCCTCGCGCGTCGGGAAGGGCTGCAGGTCGCGGGGGGACGGCAGCTGCGGCACCAGGTCCGACGGGCTGATGGTCAGCTGAGGGAAACGAGTATCCGTTATGTTTTATAACCAACGATTTCATACACTTCCAATGATATTACCCTACATATACCAACGCGAACAAAATCGTGCCCGAAACATGTCCAAAAGGTACGTTGGACGATCCACGAAGCTCCGTAAGATGATCGCGTTGTCAAAAACAATATAAGACATTATTTAAATATTGAAAGTCACCTTTAATGCATACTGTATAATGTCTTAATTAAAATGCGTCAGAGTTCCGCATGACGTAAAATTTTACAGGAAGCTTGTAAAATTTTACGATATGCGGAATTTGCTGTCGGCGTATTGCTATATGCGGAAGAATATAACCTTTGCGCGTGTACCGCTCGTAGGCGGCCACGGAGCGTGAGTATAGTTACCCGCATCTTGATGGCGCGCGGGGCCAGGTACAGGTCGAGGCAGCGCAGGAACCGCTCGCGCGTGTACCGCGAGTAGGCGGCCACGGAGCGTGAGTATAGTTACCCGCATCTTGATGGCGCGCGGGGCCAGGTACAGGTCGAGGCAGCGCAGGAACCGCTCGCGCGTGTACCGCTCGTAGGCGGCCACGGAGCGTGAGTATAGTTACCCGCATCTTGATGGCGCGCGGGGCCAGGTACAGGTCGAGGCAGCGCAGGAACCGCTCGCGCGTGTACCGCGAGTAGGCGGCCACGGAGCGTGAGTATAGTTACCCGCATCTTGATGGCGCGCGGGGCCAGGTACAGGTCGAGGCAGCGCAGGAACCGCTCGCGCGTGTACCGCGAGTAGGCGGCCACGGAGCGTGAGTATAGTTACCCGCATCTTGATGGCGCGCGGGGCCAGGTACAGGTCGAGGCAGCGCAGGAACCGCTCGCGCGTGTACCGCTCGTAGGCGGCCACGGAGCGTGAGTATAGTTACCCGCATCTTGATGGCGCGCGGGGCCAGGTACAGGTCGAGGCAGCGCAGGAACCGCTCGCGCGTGTACCGCGAGTAGGCGGCCACGGAGCGTGAGTATAGTTACCCGCATCTTGATGGCGCGCGGGGCCAGGTACAGGTCGAGGCAGCGCAGGAACCGCTCGCGCGTGTACCGCGAGTAGGCGGCCACGGAGCGTGAGTATAGTTACCCGCATCTTGATGGCGCGCGGGGCCAGGTACAGGTCGAGGCAGCGCAGGAACCGCTCGCGCGTGTACCGCTCGTAGGCGGCCACGGAGCGTGAGTATAGTTACCCGCATCTTGATGGCGCGCGGGGCCAGGTACAGGTCGAGGCAGCGCAGGAACCGCTCGCGCGTGTACCGCGAGTAGGCGGCCACGGAGCGTGAGTATAGTTACCCGCATCTTGATGGCGCGCGGGGCCAGGTACAGGTCGAGGCAGCGCAGGAACCGCTCGCGCGTGTACCGCTCGTAGGCGGCCACGGAGCGTGAGTATAGTTACCCGCATCTTGATGGCGCGCGGGGCCAGGTACAGGTCGAGGCAGCGCAGGAACCGCTCGCGCGTGTACCGCGAGTAGGCGGCCACGGAGCGTGAGTATAGTTACCCGCATCTTGATGGCGCGCGGGGCCAGGTACAGGTCGAGGCAGCGCAGGAACCGCTCGCGCGTGTACCGCGAGTAGGCGGCCACGGAGCGTGAGTATAGTTACCCGCATCTTGATGGCGCGCGGGGCCAGGTACAGGTCGAGGCAGCGCAGGAACCGCTCGCGCGTGTACCGCGAGTAGGCGGCCACGGAGCGTGAGTATAGTTACCCGCATCTTGATGGCGCGCGGGGCCAGGTACAGGTCGAGGCAGCGCAGGAACCGCTCGCGCGTGTACCGCGAGTAGGCGGCCACGGAGCGTGAGTATAGTTACCCGCATCTTGATGGCGCGCGGGGCCAGGTACAGGTCGAGGCAGCGCAGGAACCGCTCGCGCGTGTACCGCTCGTAGGCGGCCACGGAGCGTGAGTATAGTTACCCGCATCTTGATGGCGCGCGGGGCCAGGTACAGGTCGAGGCAGCGCAGGAACCGCTCGCGCGTGTACCGCTCGTAGGCGGCCACGGAGCGTGAGTATAGTTACCCGCATCTTGATGGCGCGCGGGGCCAGGTACAGGTCGAGGCAGCGCAGGAACCGCTCGCGCGTGTACCGCTCGTAGGCGGCCACGGAGCGTGAGTATAGTTACCCGCATCTTGATGGCGCGCGGGGCCAGGTACAGGTCGAGGCAGCGCAGGAACCGCTCGCGCGTGTACCGCTCGTAGGCGGCCACGGAGCGTGAGTATAGTTACCCGCATCTTGATGGCGCGCGGGGCCAGGTACAGGTCGAGGCAGCGCAGGAACCGCTCGCGCGTGTACCGCGAGTAGGCGGCCACGGAGCGTGAGTATAGTTACCCGCATCTTGATGGCGCGCGGGGCCAGGTACAGGTCGAGGCAGCGCAGGAACCGCTCGCGCGTGTACCGCTCGTAGGCGGCCACGGAGCGTGAGTATAGTTACCCGCATCTTGATGGCGCGCGGGGCCAGGTACAGGTCGAGGCAGCGCAGGAACCGCTCGCGCGTGTACCGCTCGTAGGCGGCCACGGAGCGTGAGTATAGTTACCCGCATCTTGATGGCGCGCGGGGCCAGGTACAGGTCGAGGCAGCGCAGGAACCGCTCGCGCGTGTACCGCGAGTAGGCGGCCACGGAGCGTGAGTATAGTTACCCGCATCTTGATGGCGCGCGGGGCCAGGTACAGGTCGAGGCAGCGCAGGAACCGCTCGCGCGTGTACCGCGAGTAGGCGGCCACGGAGCGTGAGTATAGTTACCCGCATCTTGATGGCGCGCGGGGCCAGGTACAGGTCGAGGCAGCGCAGGAACCGCTCGCGCGTGTACCGCGAGTAGGCGGCCACGGAGCGTGAGTATAGTTACCCGCATCTTGATGGCGCGCGGGGCCAGGTACAGGTCGAGGCAGCGCAGGAACCGCTCGCGCGTGTACCGCTCGTAGGCGGCCACGGAGCGTGAGTATAGTTACCCGCATCTTGATGGCGCGCGGGGCCAGGTACAGGTCGAGGCAGCGCAGGAACCGCTCGCGCGTGTACCGCGAGTAGGCGGCCACGGAGCGTGAGTATAGTTACCCGCATCTTGATGGCGCGCGGGGCCAGGTACAGGTCGAGGCAGCGCAGGAACCGCTCGCGCGTGTACCGCTCGTAGGCGGCCACGGAGCGTGAGTATAGTTACCCGCATCTTGATGGCGCGCGGGGCCAGGTACAGGTCGAGGCAGCGCAGGAACCGCTCGCGCGTGTACCGCGAGTAGGCGGCCACGGAGCGTGAGTATAGTTACCCGCATCTTGATGGCGCGCGGGGCCAGGTACAGGTCGAGGCAGCGCAGGAACCGCTCGCGCGTGTACCGCGAGTAGGCGGCCACGGAGCGTGAGTATAGTTACCCGCATCTTGATGGCGCGCGGGGCCAGGTACAGGTCGAGGCAGCGCAGGAACCGCTCGCGCGTGTACCGCTCGTAGGCGGCCACGGAGCGTGAGTATAGTTACCCGCATCTTGATGGCGCGCGGGGCCAGGTACAGGTCGAGGCAGCGCAGGAACCGCTCGCGCGTGTACCGCTCGTAGGCGGCCACGGAGCGTGAGTATAGTTACCCGCATCTTGATGGCGCGCGGGGCCAGGTACAGGTCGAGGCAGCGCAGGAACCGCTCGCGCGTGTACCGCGAGTAGGCGGCCACGGAGCGTGAGTATAGTTACCCGCATCTTGATGGCGCGCGGGGCCAGGTACAGGTCGAGGCAGCGCAGGAACCGCTCGCGCGTGTACCGCGAGTAGGCGGCCACGGAGCGTGAGTATAGTTACCCGCATCTTGATGGCGCGCGGGGCCAGGTACAGGTCGAGGCAGCGCAGGAACCGCTCGCGCGTGTACCGCTCGTAGGCGGCCACGGAGCGTGAGTATAGTTACCCGCATCTTGATGGCGCGCGGGGCCAGGTACAGGTCGAGGCAGCGCAGGAACCGCTCGCGCGTGTACCGCGAGTAGGCGGCCACGGAGCGTGAGTATAGTTACCCGCATCTTGATGGCGCGCGGGGCCAGGTACAGGTCGAGGCAGCGCAGGAACCGCTCGCGCGTGTACCGCGAGTAGGCGGCCACGGAGCGTGAGTATAGTTACCCGCATCTTGATGGCGCGCGGGGCCAGGTACAGGTCGAGGCAGCGCAGGAACCGCTCGCGCGTGTACCGCGAGTAGGCGGCCACGGAGCGTGAGTATAGTTACCCGCATCTTGATGGCGCGCGGGGCCAGGTACAGGTCGAGGCAGCGCAGGAACCGCTCGCGCGTGTACCGCTCGTAGGCGGCCACGGAGCGTGAGTATAGTTACCCGCATCTTGATGGCGCGCGGGGGCCAGGTACAGGTCGAGGCAGCGCAGGAACCGCTCGCGCGTGTACCGCGAGTAGGCGGCCACGGAGCGTGAGTATAGTTACCCGCATCTTGATGGCGCGCGGGGCCAGGTACAGGTCGAGGCAGCGCAGGAACCGCTCGCGCGTGTACCGCTCGTAGGCGGCCACGGAGCGTGAGTATAGTTACCCGCATCTTGATGGCGCGCGGGGCCAGGTACAGGTCGAGGCAGCGCAGGAACCGCTCGCGCGTGTACCGCGAGTAGGCGGCCACGGAGCGTGAGTATAGTTACCCGCATCTTGATGGCGCGCGGGGCCAGGTACAGGTCGAGGCAGCGCAGGAACCGCTCGCGCGTGTACCGCGAGTAGGCGGCCACGGAGCGTAGGTTGTGGTGCTGCGTCGGCAGGAACGTGTACTTGCGCAACCACGGCGTCTCCGACAGCTTGTTCCATTCCTTCATCTGTATACCGCATACCGAAATCACGGTTATATCTCAGGACGAAACTAAAGCATACAATTAGTTTAAATTCATCTCATACAGGGGACGCTACACTAATTTAGGCCTCCTCAAAATGATTGGGCATCTAGCATTTGTACTAAAATATACAGATATTTATAATTGAAATATTGAACACGATATTTCTGTTCGATGTGTGCGTGTGTGTACAGTATGCGGGACACATGCTCACCTCCCTGGCGTCCAGCAGGTACTCGGGCGGGGGCCGGTAGCTCTCGGCGTGTGCTGGGAGGGGCCGGCGCGGGGCGGGGATGTGCCGCTGTATGCCGCGAACTGCTTCCGTCTCCGAACCCCACAGGTTGTAGAACTGCTTCTCCTGACCACACCACCCATATTCACGATCAAATATTGCATTGACGAACTAATTCTACTGTTGCTGTTTTAAACTCAGAGCAAGAATTTAACCGTAAAAGTAATGATAGACGTCCATGACGCGGACTTTGGAAGTAGATTGTTACTTAACCACTCGGTTGAGATAATAAATAAAATAATTTGTAATGAACAAAAATCAATTAAAGTTTAATAAGTGAGTAGGAAGTAAAAAAAATCTATTCTTTGTTAAATCTAACTGAACTACATTGTCCCTTTTTACAAAAATTACATTGAATTTAAGTTATTGTATCATCGAGGCATATCTTTTACTATCTATGCAATTGACATTACATATAAAAGTGTGCTACCTAAAAGTGTATAATTAATGACAAAAAATCTTTGATAAGGTAACATCTCAAATTCACTGTATTTATTATCGATAAAGGTTAATTATTGTCTTGCGTTAATCTTCTTTAATTGTTGTAAATGTATCCCGATCTTTCAAATAAATGTGTTATCTATCTATCCGAGTGTTTCAACTCACCCTTTTCTTCTTCCTCTCTTCAGCGAGCTGCTTTCGCGTCTTGGTCCATCCCATCTTGAGCGCGTGCACGATCTTGGCCACCTGCAGCTGCTCGGAGCGCGACGGCAGGAACGACCGCTTGTGGTCCGGGAACGCGCGCACCGGCGTCGCCAGAACAGAACGGCTGAACCACTCTATCCACGGCTGGACAATACAATATGTTCAACTGACAATGACGACACAACAGAAACAAACAGAACTTCCACTTTCAAGGTAAAGAGAGAACAGGAAGGGAGAAAACAAAAGTGGTAACGGTGTACAAGTGCGACTATAAACGAATATAAACGAAACGCTTGTAGTCCGGGAACGCGCGTACCGGTATCGTCGGCACTTCGCGACTGAACCATCTATCCACGGCCGAACAATACAATATGCTACACTAAAAATGCAGACACGGGAACAGAAACAAAGAAAACGTAAAACGTAGTACGTTTGGAGAGAAAGGTGAAGAAAGAGATCACACAAGAAGACAAGAAGAGAGAAGTCAGAAGTAATATAGTATAGTTTGGCACACAATTATTTAATTTTTACCCGCGCAAGTGTTCCCTCCTTCCTATAATCTGGGGTCCTTCAAGAGAGGCGTGAAGAAGCATTTTTGCAGGCCGGCAAGGTGAGGATGATTGGTGTAGCAGTTTATAACTGCTATACCAGCTATCTTCGCATTTGGACTTTATCACCACTTAACATCAGGTGAGGTAGAGTCATTTGCCTACCTTAATATATAATATATATTATATCAGGTGGCTGGCGCTTCACCTACTGCTACCGCGGCACGCTTGATTTGCTCGCTCGGCTCGCGCTAAATTCAGATCCTCACAGGTCACAATACTAACCTAAGCCTCGTCGGTCGCTCGCGACAATAGTATGAAAATGTATGGCACCGCTTCCGAGGCCCGCGCCCGACGACTGTCGTGATTGTTTGATAATCATTGAGCATTCAGCAGCCACTCACACATCCACCACAACAATAGATCTTTCACATTCATTTATGTTTTGAATATATTGTGCATAATTTACCTGGTACTCATCATGTGAAGAGTTGGGCACGTGTCCCTCGCGAAGGCGGTGAATGAGCTCGAGGTCCTCTTTACTGAGCTTCACGTCCTGCCCTGTGCTGGGGTCCTTCACTGTGCGCCAGAAATCTGGGTCCTCGCATCGCCTTGAGGCAAACAAATACACAAATGAGTATAACAAAAAATGCATGTTAGGGTGAAGGCGACTGCTTTGGCCATAAATCATATTCCAAAGTAAGATTGTATTATTATGACTTAACTTATAGGAGATTTTTTGATCTCATTGTTATCTTTACACAAACAAAAAGCTTTTTTTTAATATTACATAAAAAAACTTATTCTCCTCATATCATAGACAACAGACATTTTTTTATGGTGATCTTGTATCTATGTTTACAATACAAAAAAGTATAGGAGCAATTTATCATCATACTGTTTACTACTTGTAACAACAGGTTTTTAAGTATTTGTACACTCACTTGAGGAACTCGTCGATCTGGTCTCGCTGCGGGGGCTTGATGATGCGTCGTCCGTCGAGGTCGTAGCCCACGTGCGGGTACTCGTCGTACCACCAGCGCGGCACCTCGCCCGTCGTGTTGCGGCGGTCCTCCTCGTCCGACGTGTCGCCAGAGGAGTACTCATCTAAGTTAACCATCTCATAAGCAGGACTATTCACCCTTTTTTTTAGGCAGGCAAAACCTATATTTATTTTCAGACGTTGACGCCCTTAAGGGGCACACCAACGAAAGGTCCTCATGCCTAACCCCTCGCAAGTGTTAGGGGTGCGAAAGGCAGAAGCCGTTGAGCAGTCTGCGCGACATATGAGCAAACTATCTGCTACAAAACCCTGTGAATACCCTCTACAACTTAAGTGCGGAACCGCGAGGTCCCCGTTGAGGGATTTCACTGCATCTCTGCACCTGAGAGTTACCTGGCCTGGCTGGGTATTCGCCCTAGGGCCATAAGGCCATGGTCCAGGGAGGCAAGCTGTGAGGAGGCAGCAAAAGTTGTATAAAGACATTCTAAATTAATTCATAAAATAAGGAATTTTAGTTAAAGCTTACATAAATAATTATTACAGTACACAGGAAATATTCATTTAATAAATTTTACTAAAACTGGCAATCATTCAATAACACTCTTGGGCAATTCGTCAGTAATAGGGTGGTTAAAGCTTGAAACTGATTACCAGCAGAAGTAGTTTTTTTACAAAGTAATTTTAGAAGGTCATAGACAAATATCTTGTGTACACATAACATACAATACATAACATACAATAGTAGGATGCAGGCATTTATCAATTGTTTCAATGGTCTGCCTGATGAATTACATTGTATGCCAGTGGCATGTCAGAGCAATAACAGAAAAATCAAAATAATAAAAAAAAAAACAAGACTGCCGTTTTTTAAACATTCCTACTTGTTTTTTTATTATGAACTTGGCTTGAAGTAATCAAATTTCGAGTATTTATTTTGTATTAGAGGTAAACCTGTTTATTAATACTACTATATTTGATATGGTCTCATTAAGACCTTTCAAATGTTACCTATATTGCAATAATTAACTTGACATTGCGAATGTGCTGTTATTTCAATTTTAACAGATTAGGTATCCTTTGTCAACCGGGATGGTGAAAGGAGTCTAACAATTCATATAAAATCTAAATTGGTTCAGGCATTTAGAAGTTATGGTGGAATAAAAAAATGTACATACATACATGAATCCTGAATAGATTACACTCTTTATTTTTTTGGGCAGTTTTGTAAAGAAAAGAAAAAAGATTTTGATCTGACTTATCTAAATATCCCATTTTCATGTGCAATTTGGCCATAACTTGCCATTGCATAACTGCTTTAATAGCACTGCCACTGTTCAGATAAGGAGTTTATGAGTGCAGCTACCATCAAGATGAAAATTATCACTCAGGACAATTGATGGGCTTACCTTTTTGTTCAACAGGTTGTATACTGACACTTGAATTCTTGATTTTGTCAGCAAGTATGTCAACACTGCTTTTTGTTTCTTTTTGGGTTTGCAATTGCTTCTTTTTTAGTGATTTTGTAGTTAGTTTTTGTTGCTTTTGATTGGCAGATTTTTTCTCTGCTTCATCGCTAGATTGTGCTTGGCTGGGCCCTGATTCTGCTCCACTATCAATACTCTTCTCTGAATCGGAAGTGGTTTCACTCACTTCATTCTCATCAGAACTATCATTTTCTTCAGTATCAGCTTCAGAGTCAGTTAAATCCTTAAAAGAAGTAAATTAAAATGATTTTTAAAAGAAAACTTCAACCACATGTGCTTTGGTTCAACTAGTTTTTTTTTTAGATTTTAAACAGAGGAAATGTTAGCCTCACAAGCACTTCCAGGGGGGCCTACGGCCTATCAGTATTTTTATGGCAATAACTTATGATTTCATATTGTTATTTCATTAAAATGAGCGTGAGGTATTTGAAAACTTTTGGGGGTCAGAAAAACATTATGAAACTATAAGCTATAGCTATTGCAAGGCATAGGTGGTAGGCTCTCAGGAACTATATTTAACCAAATGTACTTACAGATGATTGATCTGAATCTTCCAAGTCTGCTTCATCTCCTAATGTGGAATCTGCATCATCACCAAACATAACTTTCTGAAACATAGTAAATTTTATAAGCATGTAAATATATTTCTGCGCCTCTCAAATGCAACACTTTAACACGTAGCTTGTTTAAAATAATAATGGGCTCAGCTTTCCATTATATGTAATTGAGTTGCAAGCTGAAATTTTTGTCACGCAAAGTATTAACTATTATAAACACGTACACGAAATCTTTTTAGGCGGAAACGAATAGAACTCGAAAGAAAGAAAGAAAGAAAGAAAGAAATTTTATTTGTAACAACATGTGTAAGTAAGATTGTCAGTGATAATTAGCTAAGTACATAACATGTTGTGCCAATATCGGCATACAAATTAATTATTATTTATATTCATTATTATCATTCTAAGATTCAAATTACAAAAATGAAAAGGTCAATAATGTCAATACAATAAAAAATGACAATAAATTGGGCAAACACTTTAAATAATATGTCAATACTTTCAAAACAAACATAGTCAAATATCAGTAAATTGGGTAGAAACTGTTAATACATGTCAAAACTCTCAATTCAATAATTAAATGTCAATAAAATTGGGCAACTAAACAAAATACTAATAAATTCGAATTTAAATTGAGTAATAGTTGCATTTCAAATGTCAATTTAATAATCAAATGTCAATAAAATTGGTCAAAACTATATATAACATGTCAATATGTACTTGCAATTCAAATAGTAGAATAAAAATAAAATAAAATCACAATTTGTCGGTTAAAAAATCTGATACAGCATAATAACATTTATCAGTTAATAGTTTCTTAATTTTCTGTTTAAACACATTATAATTTAAATCTTTCAAAGATGTTGGGAGTTTATTATATATTCTAGGAGCCATACAGAATACATTATTTCCCATTAGGGCTGTTCTGGAGTTGGGCATGCAAAGTCTACTGTTATCACGTCTGTGGCGATCTAGTACATCTGCCATTTTTACAAATAGGTGCATGTTTTCTTTTACAAATAAGAGGATTTCAAAAATATACAAAGACGGAAGTGTCAGAATCTTATATTTTAAGAAGTAAGGTTTACAACTATCCGTAGTTTTTAAATCAAACATGGCTCTTATGCATCTTTTTTGCATTTTAAATGCTAAATCTTTGTCAGTAGAATTCCCCCAGAAGATAATACCGTATCTCAGAATTGACGCAGCTAAGCCGTGATATGCAGTGAGCAGGGCGTCTGTGTTCAATAAGGAGGAAAGTTTAAACAACGCATAGGCCGCACTGCTGACTTTCTTACTAAGGTATTCTATGTGAGGTTTCCAATTTAATCTAGAATCTACCATTATTCCGAGAAATTTGACGCTTTCAACTTCGCGTATGTCAACATTTTGTTGATCAATTTTTAAACATATATCATTATTTTTACGTTGACTAAATTGCATTAATTGAGTCTTTTCAAGATTTATTTTTAAATTATTATCATTTAACCATGAAATAACGGATGTCAGAGAATTCTTAATGGCATGTTCATAAATGTCAGGATCTTTACAGGGAATTGTCAAAGTACTGTCGTCAGCGAACAGAGTAATTGGATAGTCAACAGATTTAGGTAAGTCATTAATATACACGTTGAAAAATAATGGACCAATCGCACTCCCTTGAGGAACTCCATATTTAACCGTGCGCGTTTCTGAATAATAATTTTCTTCAATATGCGATTTTGTATTAATTTGTGTAATGACAGTATACTGTTTTCTATTTACTAAATAACTTTCAATCAATTTCAGAATATTTCCTCTAATACCGTATGCGTCAAGTTTTTTTAATAAAATGTCATGATTTACGTAGTCAAAAGCTTGTGTCATATCACAATATATTGCAGAAATAGGGTTTCTTTTGTCCATATTAGTTATTATATTATTAAGAAATTCGAACAGGGCTTTGTTAATATTTTTATTTTGACGAAAACCATTTTGTTCTTTACACAAAATATTTTTACTTTCTAGATAGTTATAAATTTCTTTATAAATATATTTTTCGAAAACTTTTGATATTATTGAATTTATGGCAATCGGTCTATAGTTATTTATTAACAATGTATTTCCTTTTTTAAATAATGGTTTGATTATAGATGTTTTAAGTTGATCTGGATATATACCAGAACTAATGCTCACATTAATAATATGACTCAAATGACCACTTATCAAATCCCCCACTGACTTAACTATCTTAGTTGATATACCATCATGCCCTTCGCTATTTGTATTTTTCAAATTTTTTATAATATTTAAAATTTCTTGAGGTATACTGGGTGCCATAAAAAATGAATCTCTTCTATTTTCTAATTTGGAGGATTTATATGATTTAGAAACCGATGTCGAAATTATTTTGTCAATGAAATAATTATTAAAAATATTGGCTATTTGTTCTGGATTCACAATAGTTTCGTGATTAGCATTAATTTCCAAAATATGATGTTTAGGAACATTAAGCCTGGTTTTATTTATAATAGACCAAGTAGATTTCGACTTATTTTCAGAATGTTTTATTAGAAAATCGTTCTGTGCTCGCTGTGTAAGTCGAATAATTTTTTTGTACAGTTTTTTGTATTTTACTAAAATGTCTTTATTTATGTTTGTTGGCTTGAGTCGATAATTCCAAAGAAGTCGTCTTTTTTTCTTACTGCATATTTTAACACCTTTGGAGACCCACTTGGGCTTCCTGATAACAGATATAGTGATTAGCTTACATGGAAAACAAAGGTCATAAAATAACTTAAAATAACTCATGAATGAGGAAAATGCAGTGTTTGGATCATCTGTGTCGTATATTTCTGAGAACGATAACTTCATGAGGCAATCCCTAAATTTTGTAATATTTTCGGCACTATAATCTCTACATTTTTTTCGCCAAAATTTCAATGCATGTACATTCTTCACAGAACAGGTCAATAGTTGAGCAGTATGATCGGATAAAGCTAATTCTATCACCTCCGTCCTGCACGCCTTTAGAAAGTTATGGGCAAAATTATCAATACATGTATGGCTTATCAATCTGGTTGGCTCTTTCAATGCCAATTTTAGATTATAATTAAGAAGAAGACATTCAAACTCTAAAGTAATATTGTTTTTTTTTAGTACGTCAATATTAAAATCACCTGCTATTATAATATTATCGAACTTTTTTCTACTCAGAAGGGATAATAATTGATCCATCTTAGAGAAAAATATGTTCATATAGGCCGTTTTAGGAACCCTATAAATGCATACTATTACAATCCTATAATGTAGCAGTTCCACCGCACAGCATTCGAATATGCCCGGCAATGAAAGCTCTGCTACCTTCGGTAATGCCTTCCATCGATGGCATTTTTGAATTAAAATACAAACTCCGCCCCGCTTAGAGTTTTCTCTACTGAAGTGTGAAGCTATCTGGTAATTGGGGACAGATAGGAAGTTCTCATAGCCAGCCATCATAAAGTGCTCCGTTACACATATCACGTCAATATTTTTATTTTTATCAGACAGCTCCTCTAAACTTACAACAAGTGAATCAGACTTGTTTATTAATCCAGCTATATTTTGATGTAATATATTTAAAGGTATTTTAAAGGTATATGAATTTTTAGGAAAGAAAAAAATCTGAGTCACCTGTAACCGATTGAGTTTGCTTGGGCTCTCTCTCAGAAATTACATCTTTGCTACTGAAAATTTCAATGTCAAGAATTAAACTTTTAAGATTCTCAAATATATTTTTCATACCTATATTATTTAATTTACCATTACTCCTCGAAAACATAGCATAATCGTAAGTTAGTTTTAAATTTGAGTCCAATATATAAGCGTAGTTATTCGAAAATATGTCAAAACTTAATATATTATTAAATGTCTCAATTCTGGAATTAAACATATTAGAAAATTCTTTACATTTATATGTTGGGGCACATAGTATAATATTAGTGTGATTTATCGTTTGTAATGTCTGTTGCAATTGTATAACAATATCAAAATAATTTAAAGTAGTCAAAAAATCTTCTTCGCCGATGAATATAATACAATAGTCCTCAAATGTGTAGTTTTTTAATTTATTTTTCAGGTTTTCAATCATTTTCAAAATCCCACATTTCGGTGTTAAATAATGTATTATGTGACGATCTTGGAAAGAACTCTCTGCAATATCCAGGATACTGTTTTTATTATTGCTACTCAAAATACATATTTTTTTAGATAAGTTATTGCCACTCACGGCCTTATCATTACTTTTATGGGTTTCATTCTTCTTCTCTATTTTATCAGACGACTGTGGTGAAAAAAAATCTCTGTTTGCCCTTCTTGGAGTAGATGAAATATTTTTAGTTTTGAGATTTCGGCTGTTTGTGTCATCGGTACTCTTGGTTAACAGTTGACTTGCATCTTTTTCTTGTAAAGCGATTTTAAGTTGTTCGTTTACCAATGACAGATTGTTTATTTCTTGTTTCGCCGACGCTAGATCACTTTTAAGTTTGCATATCTCTTTTTTTAAGACTTGTATTAGTTCGGGTTCGCCACTCTCGCCATCTATTGAAATATTTGGTAAGCTATTTGCAGTGTCATCTAGTGTCAAATCGTTTATTATTTCACTTGGTGAAATCGATCTTCGTCTGCGGCAAGTTATGTTCTCAAAATCCATTTCGTTTATAATGAAAATTATTCTTTATTTAAAAAATATCCGGTCGCGGTTCGGGTTTCGAACTGACGACTTTTGGTGCTTGAGGTGAAGATTTAGCAACTGCGCTAAATTTCCTTAAGAATAGTTGACGAAATTTATCTACGCTTGATGTCTTGTATAACGTTTGTATTGAGTCCGTTAAATATGAACTATTTGAGCACGACTTATGTTATTAGATTACCTTATTTTTAAAATGTTATTTTTACAAAACTGTTTATGACGTGTTTAGTATTATTGAATATTTATTTATCAAAATGAAACCTTTTATCACTTGTATTTGTTATTTATGTTCTTTTGAATTCACTTTTCGCTCTCATTTTGCACTGATCACACTTTGGAAGGCTGTTGCACTTTATTCAATTTTATGACGTTATTACCGAATAAAAAGTTTTACAAACAATGAACAGAAGAAAATATTCTCACTTTTAAATAATTATTACTGTATTGGCTAGAAATTCCTTGTTTTTGCATTTATAAATAAACTTTTGTACGCAGTCAATGTTTACATGGCTAGCAGCGCCATCTGCTCTCTCTCTCTCGCTGCTCGAGAAAAAAAAATATTGAAAATTAATGTTTTTGTAGGTTATGAGTCAATTTTGACAGAAATTTTGATCAGTGCTGCCATTTTTTTATGCAAAAATAACATGTTTCTCGTTGTCTATGGTAAATATAAGTTTATTAAGTTGGTGCTATTGTCAAAATGTGACAATTTACCGCCATTAATGAGATCTGTCAGTCAGTGTTTGTGTTCGTCACAATTGAGAGCTTTTTCGTACTCCTGTTGATATTAACATCGTCTGACTACCATGGCATCCTCAAAGCCTTCGGCCTCGAGTTCTGCTGTCCCTTCGCCTGAAGAGTCGAGTGTAGTGCGAGTTTTGGACTCTAATGAGCCGCTTGTATGGTGATACTTCACACTAGGTTAGGTTAGGTTAGTGTTGTGACCTTAACGCGCGAGCCGAGCGAGCGAAGCGAGCGTGCCGCGGGAGCGGCCGGCGTAGCGCCAGAAAGAAAAATTCGTTAATAGAGACTTTTTCTACAAAAAAATCTAGGCCCTGGAAGTACAGTTTTACCTTTAAAACCCCTCTAATTTTTTATAATTATCATTTCTGTAAAAAAAACGCCGGGAGGGGGGGGGGGGGGGGGGGGTTTACCCTTCCCTCTGAGGAGTCTTCCCTTATACCTATCCCCCTGAAATTCCACTACATTTAACAGATTTAATGAATTTTTAGGTTAGGTAAAAAAAAACTGCATTTCCGCCAAAAATCTTTTATGGCGGGGGGGTCGGGGAGAGCCCCCCCTCCCCCTCCCCTACAAATTACCCCGAAATTCGATTACATATAATGGAATTAAGTACCCTATATTTAACCAAATGTACTTACAGATGATTGATCTGAATCTTCCAAGTCTGCTTCATCTCCTAATGTGGAATCTGCATCATCACCAAACATAACTTTCTGAAACATAGTAAATTTTATAAGCATGTAAATATATTTCTGCGCCTCTCAAATGCAACACTTTAACACGTAGCTTGTTTAAAATAATAATGGACAACATGTAAGAAAGTACGTACCTCGATCTCGTTGTCAGAACCGGCATTGTTGGGGTCCTCCTCGTGCTCAGAGTCTGTTGCATCGTTCACATCATCAAGGTCACCCCGTATTAGATCTTCGCTGTCTTCTAGGCTTTCCTGAGAAAGAACACCAGCAACATGAAAAATAGTTTCAAACAAAAATAAAAATTAAGCAAATAACGCAGAAAGTTATTTCTTATGAACTTACGTTTTTAGACAATGCTTCATTTCTTGAATCTTTAGGATCTTCTGAGTATATCTTTCTTTTCAACAAACCTTTACGAAATGGTGGCATTTTAACTTATTTATTTTGCATATTTACTTAAAAAACTATAAGATCACACGTGTTATTCACCAACAACCAAACAACTTTGCTTTGCTTGCTTGCTCTACTTCACGTGCTGGTCCGAATTTGACATTGACATTGACAGACAGCTGACCAATGACAGATTAGTACAAGGCTGCATTCCAAACATACAAACTATTTTCAGGGTAAAAACTTGCATTTAGAATCAGAGCCTAGGTTGGAACGCAGCTCAAAGGGCCTGTGTCTTTTCTTTTTATTCTGCACAAATCACAACAAGGATACACTGATATCAAATTAGCTGCAGAGAGAACATCGGACTTCGGCATGACCATTGACATGGCATAGGTAGAGGATCATACATGCCAGAATCGGGCCCTTCGACTACTATAATCATGGACGTAACGTTCTATTATTAAACCAACTTATGTAGTCATACACGCTTTCGAGTTCGAGGTTTAATCGTGCATTGAAGGATCAAGGATTCAAGCCAAGTTGTGTAAATAATCGAGAGTTTCTTAGCTGTAACAAATATAAAAATAGATATAATTTTAATCAAAAAATATTTAATGGAATTATTTGTAATATAATTATATCATGGTATTTATAATTGTATAGTAAAGACCCCATTTTAATTTAATTTAACTTTAATTTAGTCTTTTGTATAAATTGCATGCCATTTATGGTAAAATATGTAGAATCTATTTGTATACATGTCATCTTATTGTACCATATTTTTTGCAATAAATAAATCTAAATCTAAATAAATCTTTATTTTGCAAGTGAGTTTTACTCAAAGGCACCTCAAAGAAGGAGAGTTTAAGAATCCAAAACGTCATAACACACAAATGTCAACAATATAATATTTTTGAGGTTATTTGCAGGTTATGTAAAAAGAAAGAAAACAATTTGTATTCCATAATAACCAATTATAACTGTTTGTCAAGTTTGTACAATGAATAACATTGAACGATTTAATAAGTTTTTATTAATTGGTTTCTAATTCTACTAAATAATATCGGTTTTGCTACTAAAATGTTTCGTCAACTAATACGAGCTTTGGAACCGGTGAGGAATAGACTGGTGAGTTCAAATTTAATATTGAATAAATGTATCTTTTTATAATAAACCTTGGTATAAATTGAATTCATATTGATTTCCTTTTTTGTTGTAGTCACGAGCCGTAGCCGGGTCCAGCAATGGCGCAGCAAGCAGTGAATGCAATAACTTTGAACGCAATAGCCAAACTAAAGAGCAGCAGCTATCGAGCACGTTAAAGAGGGCACTTCCTGGCATTACCTACATTAGCATAGAAGACATATCAGGAGGATGTGGAGCCATGTATGAGGTGAAGTTTTTTACACATACAATCTCTCAAAAAATATGCTTATTAAACTACAATAAAAAAGATTAACTACTAAGCTTTTTGAGTTTTTAGTCATTACAATATTTCAATGTAAGGGTATTAAAATAATAGATAAAAAGTAGGTAATATAGTTCTCAAATTTTATGCTACTGTTATTGTCTATGAGAATGAAATGCATGTACAGCGGGTGATAAATTTACATGTCTTATGAATTAAAAAAACTTTTATGGTCAAATACTGTACTTGTATGATAAATTTACATGTCTTATGAATTGAAAAAGTTGTATGAAAAATACAATATTTAGATCAGCTTTTAATCTTATAATAGCAATTTATGTGTTTCAGATAAGCATTGAAGCCAAAGAATTCAGAGGTCTCTCAACTGTGAAACAACATCGACTTGTTACTAATAGTTTGAAGAATGAAATTGCTGAAATGCATGGGATCCGTATTCATACTGCTGCCACAAAAGTAGATGATAATACATAGTTACTTAGAATCAAATTGTTATGAAGAAATGTTAAATCTTTCAATAATATTAGGTTCATATTTTAAACCTGTTTGGTTTTAATTTTTAGAAATTAGATTGGATTGTTTTTATTGCTATGGTTATTACTAGCTAGTAGTTCATTTGAGAAGTGATAAATGAGTTAAATGTTAAATGCATTATTTTCATTCATTGTGTTCTCTGATGATTTGCCACATTTTATGTCATTGGGCCTGAATCTAGGACAAAAATATCTAAACCTGTATACTGTGTGTCTCCATAACCAACCCTTTACAGAATAAAAATTAGATATTGGTGCTGATTCTGGCATGATTCTCTAAACTTGAAACTAAATTTAACATCAGCCACTTCTTTTCATTTTGTAAAGAAAATGACAAGTATGCACTGTTGTCGAATTTAAGTTTAGATTTAGAGAATCATGCCTGAATCGACACCACACTTTTGTCAAGCTTAATTTTAGAGAGTCATACCCAGAAACTGGACAGGGGCAGTGGATACTGTGTGATATGTATGGCAACACTGGATGACACTAGTTAATGTTAACGGGTGATTGTCACTTAATTAATAAATTCAACATGGCATACAAGTCTTTTATTTAAATATTCTTTAAACGAGTTGTTATCTAATAAAGTACAGTTACTTTTATGTTAAATTGCAATTAGTAAGTATTTGCCCTTGTCTTTGAAATTGTGCTACTATACTCGCATACTCGTACTTGATTTAGGGCCGGGGCAACCATCTTCCAGTTACCAGAAAGACAGTTGTAGATAATATGGTTTCTATAGCTCAACATGCTAGAGGTATATAGCAGGCTCGTAAGTGCGGATGTTCTTGTGGTAGCAGAATTTTTTTTTTCACGCTCGCTTGTATAGCGGGCGAGGCGATCACCTGTAGCGTAGCCATTAGGCATGCGTCCGATATATCAAAAATTCAAAACGAATCCAAAATCCGATTTCAAACACAAATCGATACCGAATTTTTTTCAGGATTTCTTAACAAGAAAATCCGATTTCAGAAATCTAACCGAACCAAAACGCTAGTATCACCTAGCTAATCTACCACACGTATACAAATGTAAATCGGATTCGAAATTTGTGCTATCTTTTTTACTCCGCTATGTAGCGATTGGTTAGAAAGAAAGCGAATTTCTTCACAATTGTGAACGCTCGAAATTTCGAGCGTCAGTAAAATTCGCTTTGTCTCTTTCTTACCAATCGTAACAAAGCGGAGTAAAAAAGATGGCGCGAATTTCGGAAGTCCGATTTCGGCTTGTTGTTTACGGAAATCTATTGCCATTGAATATGTGCGATCAATATAGTCTTACGACACAGTACTTAAAGACTATATTTGCGTGACTAGGCTGTGAAGTGATGTATTTTGGCTTATAGCTTACTACAACAACTTATAGTTTCTTTACTACAAAAACTTGGTGCTTTCGTTTGGATGCAAAGACCTTGATATGCAAGTGCGCGCGTCAGTACACAGTGATTTTTGTTTGCCGGTTTTAGATAATTATTAATTCGTGTTTGTTAAGACTGGATTGGAGTTTAAAGTTCATAAAGATAATAATAATAAGTCAACTTAGTAAATTGTGTACCTACATATTATTTAAATTGATAATTTTAATTTGGATTTTTGTGTAACTGTTGCCTTTTTAATTGATTAGACGAGTTTTGTGTTGGTTTTCAAAATGTCGTCAATTAATTGTTTGTGATTGTCGTTAGCTAATAAAACCAAATCTTAACACAAACTATAAGTTTTAAATAAATAATTAAGTTTTAAACTATAATTTTAGTGCATTGGCTAAGTTAGGCACATCTGAAATCGGATATCTAAAAACGGATCTTGAAATCGATTTTGAAATCTGAAATCCGATATATATCCGTTTGCGTTCAAAACCAAAAACGCCCATGTCTAGTAGCCATACTGTAGCTCACCCAACGGAAGCAGGTTGACAGCGCAGCGCGGCGTCTGCGAGAGGAAGACGCGCGCCGAGGTGGTGCTTGTCAGGTGCCAGTTGATTCAGGTGTGTTAGTGCTACCTTTAGCGTCTTAACTGACTACGTTTCCACTTATGTTCGAACAGTTCTGAACGGGCAAATATTTGCTTGCCCTGTAAATGGAAACATCAGACAGAACTACGGATAGATGTTTTATAAATATATTCGAGATATAAATAGGAGGAAGTCCGCAATAATGACTCGTAAAAGCTCGTCGAAAACGCCAACTCGCTATGCATTTCAATATAAAAGAAAGAACATAGAACGTATATGGGTCTAATAATTTTTGTCTTCCCGTAAAGGTAGAAAATGACCATATAAAAACAAATATGGAGTTTTTTGCCACTAGGATTTCATCAAGTCCGGTTGGCATCTTACAAGGAACGATTTATAAGTGCCTTGGCGTGTTATAATATTTATTCTTTAATTCGATCATAGTGAATATTGTGAAATAAAATTGGTGTGATTTTGTGTTACAAATGTCTGCACAACTAAAGAATTAATGTAATCTTTAAAATATACGCTATTTCGGTCAAGAGGATGTGAGAACTTTATTGTAGTATTAACTACCTTCCAGAAGCTTATCAAGAAAGCTGACTCGATACATTTCGTGGCAAACACACCAAAAAACATTAGAAAGCGTCACACCCACATTCTTATATATAAAAAAAATACAAAGAAAACTGAAGATTAAGCCGCATGGACATTATTCTTTTTGCCTTCATTAAAAAAGGGAGAAAGTTAAAAAAATAGATATATGTCACTGTCAATAGTGTCAACTCGCCGTTGTCACGCTTCTTTCTTTTGCTTTCTTTCGCGTTAAAAGGCATTTCCGTAGCAAAATGTCGCTCAATTTAGTTGTAAAAATACATCCTGTGGTTTTGTTTCAAATAGTAGATGCTTACGAGCGTCGAAATGCCGATTCACATAGAGTTATTGGTACTCTTTTGGGTAAGTAAACTTTGAAAAGTTTACCTTTCGATTTAAAGCTACACAATTTGTTATTGCCGACGTCATGCGAGCAAATTTTAATCATATCCTGTGTTGTATACATACACTATTAACGTATTTTGTCGTGTTTTGATTATATATTAAAAGTATGTTCTTACGGAACAAATGTAAATGACGATAAAGTTAATTTGGAATCGACTATAGGTTATGTTTTGATGTTTGAAACAGGTACCTCCGATAAGGGAGTAGTAGAAGTCACTAATTGTTTCTGCGTACCTCACAAAGAGCATGCTGACCAAGTGGAAGCTGAACTCAACTACGCCATGGATGTTTATGAACTAAATCGAAGAGTTAATGCATCAGAAAATATAGTTGGTGAGTCATCTGTTTATAGAGTCAAGTGGCAAGATGTATCAGTTGTATCTGAGGAATATTGGATGTTTGCAATAATAGAAGGGTTAGTGGAAGCACTAAAGTACGTACATATATAAATGTTTTAAATGATTCTGCAGTAAGGTGGCACAAAGCAAGGGATAGCAGATAGGTTAACAAACACAAAGTCCCTATTGTTCTTGGTATGTTGTTGTTCTGTATCATGTGAGTCAAGTGCCATGGTGAGCTCTACACTTGATTCCAAATTTGGCAATGAAAGAAATTCAATTTAAAGGTCATGCATCTCATTTAATTCTCTAACAGAGCTTCCATTGCAATTTTGTTGAACTGAATATTTAATTTACTTTACATTCAAATAAAACATACAGTTTGAAATATAAATAACAAACAAAATAATAAAAAAGCTTTAATCTTTGATTTCTGCTCTTTAATTATTTTGTTAAAAAAAGCTGCCAGTTATTTTAAGCTTACCCATAATGAAGACAGCTAGTCAGTGACACAAGGCCTCCCCCAGCCACTACAGAATATGTAGTTGATATTTGTATTGTTAAAGATACACTGTTTCTAATCTTCTCCATTTAGATATGTTTTGAACTATTTATCTCCAGTGAACTACCACTGCCTGTTTGACCTTGTCTGTCCATCTGGTACCTTGTCAACCCCTGCTTCTTTTCCCATCAATGGCTCAGTGCAAACAGTGTTCAGTGACAGTTCACACAGTTTTCATACATGTTATCAAAACTCGGTACACATGCATAGCCTGTGGTGGCGGGTGGGTGTTTCCGCAACTCGACGTCCTTATGGCGCCTGTTTTGCGTGAGGAGGGTGTATAGCCGGAATCACTCTAGCCAGCTCTGCTCCGCCAGGTACTCCCCCAGGGCCTTCACATTGGTGACTGCCTCTTGAAGGTTTCCCGGTGAGCTGAGGTATTTCTCCCGTTATTCGGCCACTCCATTGCATTCGAGCAGAATGTGAGTAACTGTTTCTTCTGCCTCCATGCATCCTTTGCATAGGGGGGCTGTCCATGATACCTGAGTTAAAAAGATGTCTGTTAAAATGTGCATGTTCAGTAATAGCACCTGTTACCATGCGCAATGTAGGTTTGCTTAGCTGTTGGAGAGTTTTTGAGAAGGCAGCTTCACCTGTGGCAAAGCGAACTTGGTCTGCCTTCACAATTCCAGATCGTGCCAGTGTTGCTGGTGTAGTGCGGCTCGCGGATTTTATTGACGACAGCTTACCGGTATGATTGGTTCGAGACCTGTTGGGGTCGTATCAGATCCCTTCCGGGCCAGCTCATCCGCCGCGTCTTTTCCGCGTGATCCTCTGTGTCCATTTATTCATTGGATAGTCATAGAATTGCTTGACCCTACTGTGTTTAAGGCTTGGTGGCATTCTTGTAGGAGGCTCGATTTGACTAAACAGGCATCTAGAGCTTGTAGGACTGATTTGCTGTCAGACATTATTCGTATTTCCTGTCCTGTTACCTTTCTTGAAAGGATCGCTCTTACAGCCAGTGTGATCTTAGTCATAGTAGAACGGCGGGCTGTTTCCGCAACTCGACATCTAGTGCCTATTTTGCGAGGGGATTGGCATCAGTCCTGCCATCCCAGCTCCTCCAGAAAGCTCAGCAGTCCCCGAATATTGCTGCAGGCCTGTACTATTGTCTTCGGGCTTCCCATTAGAGAGAGAGAGAGAGAGAGAGATTTTTTATTAACCATTTGTTACGAGTATTACAAGAACAATGAAAAAACACATAAACATTATCATAAAAAACAAAAATAAAAAACTAACTTAAAACTATAAAAGTAAATTAATGGTTAATCAGGACCCTGCCTCAGCATGATGCTGTTGCCACACGTTACTATGCGAGTGACAACAGCGCTGGTATTCTGGCAGGGCCTGTAAGGTGCGCTATATATATGACACGCTGCACAGTTCTCCAATCTCAAACCGAAACCTACTCGTAATATCAGTCACTCCTTTTCATTCTGTAAAGAGACTAACCATTAGAAAAGTCCTTTGTCTTGCAACGCCCCTGCACTCCAGTAGGACATGGGCGCTCGTCTCATCCTCCTCCAGGCAGGCTCTGCACAGAGGGCTGTCAGAAATACCTATATTACAGAGGTGTTTGTTGAAGTAGTCGTGACCCGTGCGTATACCCACGATTTGTTTCAGGCCTTGTCTAGGTATTCTGATTAACTTACGTGTTAGCTGCATGTTTACCTTAGGAACGGCTTCCCTAGCTTGCCTGCAGCCCGTGAATTTTGACCAATATTCGTCATGTTGTCGTTGAGGGCGCTGCCTTATCCAGGTTCGCAGCTGTCGATAGGGTATGGGTACAATTGGCTCCGGACCAATGGCCGTCCTGCTGGACCCCTGCCTGGCTAAGCAGTCCGCCACATCGTTACCCCTTGAGCCGCTGTGTCCTTTAATCCACTGTAAGGTCAATCTATTGTCGTTAGCAATATTAGTCAACTTGCTGTGGCATTCATAAATTAAGCCTGATTCCATTATATTGCCGCCGCCAGTGCCTGTAGGACAGAAGCGCTGTCAGAGAGAATACGAATATGTTTTCCTCTTACCCTGCGACAGTCTATCGCCTCAGCGGCTCTGATGATACCCACACACTCTGCCTGGAAGACTGTGTTATAGGTTCCCAATGCTGTCGAGATGTGTATATTTAGGTCTTCGGAGAAGACACTCGAACCGGTACCATAGTTGGTTTTTGAACCAACCAAAGAATAACAAATATTGTTAATTAATATTGGTTGATATTTTATTTTCATTTCTTGAGCTTTGGCTATGAATGTTTGATAACCTAAATCGTCAACCAAATGTCACTTTAAGTTGGGTTCAGAAACTCGATTTTAAACTTTGGTTTACATATAGAATGCATGTTCGTATGTGATCTAGTAATAATGCATGATTATTGAAACTACTCCGGCGGTAATGCAGAGATGAGTGGAATTGAAGAGCTTAATTCAGATTAATGTTTTTTGTCGCACAGTCTTAATAAATAAATATTATTAAAAATCGGTTATTTTCTTTTCTCAATTTTAGTAAATAAATTTTATTAAAAAATCGGATGTTTTTTCTCACTTAATCTTAGTAAATAACTTTTAATAAATAAAATCTTTTTTGCTCACTCTACCTTTTTCGTTTGAATTGACAGCTATGACGTCACAATATGGCGCCCCGTCGATCCTCTTACCTCCTTCGACAGGTAGGACTGTGGTGGCCACACACTGCAGTGTCTGTGACTCGCCATTTGGGCGTTGGGGGCCATGGAAGACGAGACCAGCGACAAGCAGTTCACACACTTATTATTCATATTATTGAAACTTGTTGGACACACGTAGCCTGTGGTGGCCACACCTTGGAGCAGTGTCTATGACTCGCCACTTGGTCACTGCGGGCCATGGAAGACTACGTGGTGTCGTCTACGTCGCCTGCGTATTAACAATAGCGTTAGCAAACTCCGTGCCGGAGTCCATCGTAGACTGTGCAGCTGAGAGTGGGTGGCAGCTTCCGAACTCCAGTGGCTCTCTTTCTGTCTTCTCGAGTATCCCAAAACTCTCCTTGCCATGCTTCTTTGGCAAGTTCAAAGTTTGACATCCATAAGTTAGAATAATAAGCAAAAATTAAAATAAAGCTTGTTTTTTAGAATATAAATTATATATTTTTCCTTAGATATAGTATACTTACACTTTTGTCGGTAATGAGACCTCAATAAGTGAATAAGCGGGTGACACCGACATCGATATCGACATCGACAGGGTGGTGGGCGACGGGCAACGAGGTGACGAACCACTCGTCGGTGATCCACGAGTACTACGCGCGCGAGTGCCGCGAGCCGGTGCACGTGACGCTGGACACGTCGCTGTCGGGCGCGCGCATGGGGCTCCGCGGGTACGTGTGCGCCGCGCTGGGGGTGCCGCGCGGCAAGCAGGGCTGCATGTTCACGCCCATCGAGGTGTCGCTCACCACCTACGAGCCGGAGGTACGCAAATATATCATATAACAGGACCTGCCGAACAAAACGGTATAATTACGCATCAACTCCTTTTTTTTACAATCCAGTTTCCTAGTGAATTTGAATCCCAAATAATTTTCAATCAAAACGCCTAAAACAGTGTTAAAATTACTAAAGATGCTCAAAGCTCAATGTAAGTATGTCATTTAGTTTTATAGAGAAAAAACTCCTGTCATATTTAATTTTGTGTAATTACATATACCATTTTGTTCACCAGCTCTTCATTCTTAACTTGTTGACACTTCACATATTTTTTTGAAAAGGTCTTTTGTCGACATACTCGGCTACTATACTGACCTAACGCAGTGTGAAGTCCCGTACAGTTTAGCGCGTTAACACATTAAGATTATCTGAATTATGAATTAACAGCAGGTAAACAAACCTTGTCCGGGTAATAAAGATAAGGAATTTAAACAATCAAACAATCTACAATATTTTTCAAAGCTGCATGACTAGTCTAATGATCACCCAACAAAGAGTGCTAAAATTAATGAAAATCTCCTATTTTCGATTCCCAAGGCAGAAAGTGATCTGTTAATATTTTATCTCCGATCTAGGTTTACACATGAAAATTATTAAGTCTGAATTTTTACATTGAATTGAAATACCAACTACAATCACATTGCAAAAAAAAGTCAAACCCATAACTTTAACACAAGTGACTTAACGAATTATCTCTGAAGTAATTTTTCTACTTGACGACTCTGTATATAACAGTTTCAGTAGAAAAAACAGCCCTTGCTGAGTTTCTTGCCGGTTCTTCTTAGTACAGGGTCTCCTGTCGTAGTTTTGCGAACCGATGGCGTAGCTTCTTGACCTTCACAAGTGCTTGTAACAGCCTAGACTAAATAAATGATTTTTGGTTTTGATATTATTCAGGGGGAATTTAAACCTAAATTTATTCTCCACAGATTTATGATTCCTCCAGAAATTATTTATAAACATAGTATATATCACGCACTGGGAAACGCCGTGTCTATTCTACCAATTCCTTGCTAGGTAGACTGACGACATTAAGCGAGTCCGGGACTCGGACTCGAGCGGGTTTGAGTTTGAAAATTCCTATAGGAGACCTATGTACAACTGTGGACGTCCATCGGCTGATTATGATAGTATAAAAAACAGACTCAGATGCGGGCAGTGTTAGTTGCACGGCTGTAGTATAAAATAAAGTGTGGTATGGGTTGGCAGATCGTGGGGATGCAGCTGTGTCAGAAGACCATGGCGGGGGGCGGGCGGGGACGGCAGGTGCAGCCCGTCATGGACCTGGCGCAGGTGGCCGACGCTGCGGCCAAGCTGTCCTCGCTGCTGGACCAGGTGGGTATGGGGACTACGCGCAGCTGGGCCAGCAGACGATGGCGGGGGGCGGGCGGGGACGGCAGGTGCAGCCCGTCATGGACCTGGCGCAGGTGGCCGACGCTGCGGCCAAGCTGTCCTCGCTGCTGGACCAGGTGGGTATGGGGACTACGCGCAGCTGGGCCAGCAGACGATGGCGGGGGGCGGGCGGGGACGGCAGGTGCAGCCCGTCATGGACCTGGCGCAGGTGGCCGACGCTGCGGCCAAGCTGTCCTCGCTGCTGGACCAGGTGGGTATGGGGACTACGCGCAGCTGGGCCAGCAGACGATGGCGGGGGGCGGGCGGGGACGGCAGGTGCAGCCCGTCATGGACCTGGCGCAGGTGGCCGACGCTGCGGCCAAGCTGTCCTCGCTGCTGGACCAGGTGGGTATGGGGACTACGCGCAGCTGGGCCAGCAGACGATGGCGGGGGGCGGGCGGGGACGGCAGGTGCAGCCCGTCATGGACCTGGCGCAGGTGGCCGACGCTGCGGCCAAGCTGTCCTCGCTGCTGGACCAGGTGGGTATGGGGACTACGCGCAGCTGGGCCAGCAGACGATGGCGGGGGGCGGGCGGGGACGGCAGGTGCAGCCCGTCATGGACCTGGCGCAGGTGGCCGACGCTGCGGCCAAGCTGTCCTCGCTGCTGGACCAGGTGGGTATGGGGACTACGCGCAGCTGGGCCAGCAGACGATGGCGGGGGGCGGGCGGGGACGGCAGGTGCAGCCCGTCATGGACCTGGCGCAGGTGGCCGACGCTGCGGCCAAGCTGTCCTCGCTGCTGGACCAGGTGGGTATGGGGACTACGCGCAGCTGGGCCAGCAGACGATGGCGGGGGGCGGGCGGGGACGGCAGGTGCAGCCCGTCATGGACCTGGCGCAGGTGGCCGACGCTGCGGCCAAGCTGTCCTCGCTGCTGGACCAGGTGGGTATGGGGACTACGCGCAGCTGTGCCAGAAGACGATGGCGAGGCGATGGATTTTTTTGACGCCGAGTATATACTAAATTCTGCAGTCCCTTGAAGCTGTGAAAAAATTAAATGTCTAAGTTAATGTAAATCAAAGATTCGACCGATTATGTTGTGCGACTACTTTGTATGGAACCCTCGGTCGGCAATTCCGACTCGTATTTGTTCGGTTCTTTTTTCACAAATCTGGCTACTTCTAGTTGTAAATGGAAACCGTTATCGTGCTAGTCTAACGGTTCTTTTTGTCGGGGGGTGTAGATGGTGTCGTACGTGGAAGAGGTGTTGGGCGGGACCGTGGAAGGAAACAACGCGGCCGGACGACAGCTGCTGGAGCTGGTGACGGCGCTGCCGGCCCTCGCCGCGCACTCCTTCCAGGACTCCTTCGCGGCCAGCGTCAAGGATCTGCTCATGGTATATATGGGGCCGGGGCCGGGGCCGGGGCCGGGGCCGGGGCCGGGGCCGGGGCCGGGGCCGGGGCCGGACGACAGCTGCTGGAGCTGGTGACGGCGCTGCCGGCCCTCGCCGCGCACTCCTTCCAGGACTCCTTCGCGGCCAGCGTCAAGGATCTGCTCATGGTATATATGGGGCCGGGGCCGGGGCCGGGGCCGGGGCCGGGGCCGGGGCCGGGGCCGGACGACAGCTGCTGGAGCTGGTGACGGCGCTGCCGGCCCTCGCCGCGCACTCCTTCCAGGACTCCTTCGCGGCCAGCGTCAAGGATCTGCTCATGGTATATATGGGGCCGGGGCCGGGGCCGGGGCCGGGGCCGGACGACAGCTGCTGGAGCTGGTGACGGCGCTGCCGGCCCTCGCCGCGCACTCCTTCCAGGACTCCTTCGCGGCCAGCGTCAAGGATCTGCTCATGGTATATATGGGGCCGGGGCCGGGGCCGGGGCCGGGGCCGGACGACAGCTGCTGGAGCTGGTGACGGCGCTGCCGGCCCTCGCCGCGCACTCCTTCCAGGACTCCTTCGCGGCCAGCGTCAAGGATCTGCTCATGGTATATATGGGGCCGGGGCCGGGGCCGGGGCCGGGGCCGGGGCCGGGGCCGGACGACAGCTGCTGGAGCTGGTGACGGCGCTGCCGGCCCTCGCCGCGCACTCCTTCCAGGACTCCTTCGCGGCCAGCGTCAAGGATCTGCTCATGGTATATATGGGGCCGGGGCCGGGGCCGGGGCCGGGGCCGGACGACAGCTGCTGGAGCTGGTGACGGCGCTGCCGGCCCTCGCCGCGCACTCCTTCCAGGACTCCTTCGCGGCCAGCGTCAAGGATCTGCTCATGGTATATATGGGGCCGGGGCCGGGGCCGGGGCCGGGGCCGGGGCCGGGGCCGGGGCCGGGGCCGGGGCCGGACGACAGCTGCTGGAGCTGGTGACGGCGCTGCCGGCCCTCGCCGCGCACTCCTTCCAGGACTCCTTCGCGGCCAGCGTCAAGGATCTGCTCATGGTATATATGGGGCCGGGGCCGGGGCCGGGGCCGGGGCCGGGGCCGGGGCCGGGGCCGGGGCCGGACGACAGCTGCTGGAGCTGGTGACGGCGCTGCCGGCCCTCGCCGCGCACTCCTTCCAGGACTCCTTCGCGGCCAGCGTCAAGGATCTGCTCATGGTATATATGGGGCCGGGGCCGGGGCCGGGGCCGGGGCCGGGGCCGGGGCCGGGGCCGGACGACAGCTGCTGGAGCTGGTGACGGCGCTGCCGGCCCTCGCCGCGCACTCCTTCCAGGACTCCTTCGCGGCCAGCGTCAAGGATCTGCTCATGGTATATATGGGGCCGGGGCCGGGGCCGGGGCCGGGGCCGGGGCCGGGGCCGGGGCCGGACGACAGCTGCTGGAGCTGGTGACGGCGCTGCCGGCCCTCGCCGCGCACTCCTTCCAGGACTCCTTCGCGGCCAGCGTCAAGGATCTGCTCATGGTATATATGGGGCCGGGGCCGGGGCCGGGGCCGGGGCCGGGGCCGGGGCCGGGGCCGGGGCCGGGGCCGGGGCCGGGGCCGGACGACAGCTGCTGGAGCTGGTGACGGCGCTGCCGGCCCTCGCCGCGCACTCCTTCCAGGACTCCTTCGCGGCCAGCGTCAAGGATCTGCTCATGGTATATATGGGGCCGGGGCCGGGGCCGGGGCCGGGGCCGGGGCCGGGGCCGGACGACAGCTGCTGGAGCTGGTGACGGCGCTGCCGGCCCTCGCCGCGCACTCCTTCCAGGACTCCTTCGCGGCCAGCGTCAAGGATCTGCTCATGGTATATATGGGGCCGGGGCCGGGGCCGGGGCCGGGGCCGGGGCCGGGGCTGGGGCCGGAAGCACGATTTGAGATATTAAGTATTTTTTCACCCATCCAAAGATAGACAACTGCGAAAGTTTCATAATTTCCACAATCGCAGAGCGAACGCGTGACCCACCTGCGTGAGCTTGTCTGTAATCTTATACTTGCCTATTTGAAATTGCATCATAAATTAAGCGATTATAAATAACATTTCAAGCTTTCCCCTACCGCGACACGGTGTGAAGATAGGATTTCAAATCATAAATAACGAATATTTCCTGTCTAGTGCTGTCATAACTCAAACTTCACGGTACCTAATCCGCAACTTGATTAAATTTTTGAATCACAAGTATCCCATAACACAAGCCTACAGTACTTTGGGGCTAGGCTGATTGGTGTGTGTTGGAAATATTTATTAATTTAATTAAATATTCTCCTATATTTAACTTAGGTGGTGACTCTCGCACAACTGATCAAGACACAACTGCAACTGAACGAAAAATTGACGCTGCTGACGTCGCAGTGAGCGCCGCGCCGAACGCAACTCTATTACGCAAAGAATACAGCCCATTGTGCTTTGTCAGCAACGACTACCATTGTGGATACCGACACTCATTCTCAAGTTGTAGGTGTTGACAATCTAGCCTACGTACTTCCAATAAAGTGACTCTAAACACAATGTTTTTTTTTTCATTACTTATAGCGCCGAATACCACTCTATTACGCAGGAAATACATTCCATTTTGCTTAATCAGCAGCGACTACCATTGTGAATACCTACACACGAGCCCGTATTATAGATCATTTCTCAGTAATAAAATCTAGTTTTAAACTTACATTAAAAAAAAGGGTAGATACGGCACTAGCCTCACAAAAGTGATCCGCACCAATTGTGGTCCACGACCCTAATCGCTTTAGTCACAACTTGACATGCAAACCACGTACATGTGAACGCCAAAAAGAAATATTGATAATATTTTGTGTTTATATGATAAAACAATGCCTAAGTGTGTTTTTAAAAAGTACTCAAATTGCTCAAGAACTAAAAATAAAAACCACGGCATCACTTTACATTCGTAAGTACTATAAAATATATTCTACTATATAAAAATAAGTCGGGTTTTCCTTCCTGACGCTATAACTCCAGAACGCACGAACCGATTTCCACGGGTTTGCATTCGTTGGAAAGATCTCGGGCTCCGTGAGGTTTATAGCAAAGAAAATTCAGGAAAATTTAAAAAAAAAATCGTTTTCTTTTAATCACAAAACGAAATGTTACATAAAACGAAGCTATCTGGTGGCGAAACGGAGTTCGCTGGGTTTGCTAGTTTTTTCATAAAAATTGCTGTTTGTTTTGAATCTTATTCGGTAGTGACGTCGCGTACTGGTCGCGTGATTGATCGGTAGTGCAGTGACGCGTATCTCGCCGTCTCGTTCGCGCTGCCGTTGAAACTTAACGTGCCGTTTCGCTCGGGTCGGTAATGCAGTGACGCGGATCTCGCCGTCCCGTTCGCGCTGCCGTGGGATCAGTTTTTGTTTGATGCAAGTATGAGCGTACCGTATCTACCCTTTTTGTTTTAATCTAAGGTTTTAAAACGACATTTAATTTTACGTTTCTTGAAACAAACATTGATCTGTACCCTTAGCACGAACTAATACCGAATTCGTATTGTTTGCGAGTCCGAAATGTTATTGTCAAATGTGTACTGATTTTTAGTTCTCGTTACGTACTTTGTGCCGCTGCTGTTCATGTTTCCATACAAAATTTGACATTGACATTTCGGTTTGCAAACTATTCGAATTCGATAATGGTTCGTGCTAGAGGTACTGAACTCAGCTGAGTAATTGGTTATTTTAGAAGTATATTTACGTCAACATCTACGCTCCAGCATGGATTTGATTTTGTAGAAGAAAATACGCATTATAGTCCCAAATAAAGGTTTAACGAGAATTTGTGAAGTTTGACATACCACTATGTTATTTATTTTCATAGAGTAATTGCAAACATACTCAGCCTATTGACTGATTCAAGTTTCAGTTGGTTTTCTCTTAAAATGAGACCTGTAATATGCTGCCATTAAGTTGTGATTACACTTAAAACTAGCTTTGCGTGACTCGAGTTTAAATGCTGCTCGAGCCGCGTTCTATAATACGGGCCTCACTCCCAAATCGTAGGTGTTAACAATCTAAAGCAATGAAATTGTGCGTAGCTTAATGAACTTTATCTCACATGTATAAACATACTAACTTTATACCAGCCAAAAAACTCTCACGCATTCTCGTGAATTCCTCTAGCTTTTGACTCGTATTTAGTTTGTATATTTTATAATTAACAAGGTTTAGTATGCTATGCACAATTTTGCTTCCTTTCCATTCCGCGACGGTATAGATTGAGCCCTAAGGAGTAATAAAAACCAATATTTATTTCAACAATTTATTGGTGATAGATAATAGTCAACGTCAAACGCAAAACAAAAAACTTTGATATCAGCATACGACACTGTCATTCATTATTACAAAAATAATAATTTTATTTTATTCATCATTTTAACAACATTTTGAAAAATTAATCGATGGAAGTCAGGGGGGTAACAATGCTTGGTGTTTATGGCAACTCCACAGCCACTCGGGCGACACTACAGCGCATCGCCAGCTTTTAGGAACTACAGTATTTAAATCTTCACTCAATACGTAGTCCACGGTGCTGGAACCGTCCAAATGCTCCTCCTGTAATATTAATAAATTTAATATAGTTTAAAGAAAAGTTTTACTAGAAAAAAAATTACACGCGGACCGGGCAGCAGACGGGACTCGAACCCGCACTCTTCGCAATCCGGGCGAATACACTGTCCAATTATGCTACCGCGGCCCTCACGGACCGCGTCGAAATTCCTCTAGCCATTCTTAAGCTGCAAGGCAGATTTTTTTCTAGTTATATTTTCTTTAGATTTAAACATCAAGCAGTTACATGCTTTAAAATAATAAAAATTATAATTAATATAGTTTATTCAGTTTGCGCTGTTACAAGTCGTGGTGAATTTCTTGAGCAAATCAACTTGCGCAGTAGACGTTTTTGTATGTAAAATAGGTAGTGCGCAGGCTTTCTTGTCTATGGCCGTTGCTCAAGAAATTGCCGGAGTGTATACAAGCACTAAGTATACACTCCAGCAATTTCTTGTCGATAAGCTACGCCATCGTTTCGTAAATCTACGACGGGAGAATTTGTAGGTACAGTACCCTTAGCACTAACTAATATCGAATTCGTATCGTTTGCGAGTACGAAATGTCATTGTCAAATGTGTACTGTTTTTTAGTACGTTATGGCGCTGCTGTCTTCATACAAAATTTGACAATGACATTTCGGACTCGCAAACTATTCATATTCGGTAATGGTGCGTGGTAAGGGTACTGAGAAGAATCTACACGAAACTCAGTAAAGGCTGCCTTGCAGCTTAAGGCTAGGAAAATTTCGATGCGGCCATCAGGGCCGTGGTAGCATAATTGTTCAGTGCATTCGCCCGGATTGCGAAGGGTGCGGGTTCGAGTCCCGTCCGCTGCCTGGTATGCGTGGATTTTTTTCGAGTAAAGCTTTTCTTTAGATTTAAACATCTAGCAGTTAAATGCTTAAAAAAATCAGTAAAGGCTGTTTTTATCCTTCTTTATTATACAGATGTCAGATTGGAAAATTACTTTAATAAATTTATGAAGTCCTTTAAATTAATATAAAATTGATTTAGCCGAATTCACATGGCGGAATTAGTGACATGTAAGTTGAGCCGTTGACATTAATATTTCAAAATGTTTACACATGACCAATTGTTGATAAAATATACGTCAACGGATTTAATTATAGACAATTGGTTCTACATTGTACCTAATTAGTTTTCCATAGAAACATCCACCGCCCTTTTCACCCCCTTAAAAATGATTTGGGGGAAAAAGCTATCCTATGTTCTTCTCCGGGACTCTAAACTATATTTATATTTTTTTAAGCATGACGTCACTGCTCAAATGTTCATCATCATCATCAGCCTATTAATGTCCTCACTGCTGGGGCACAGGCCTTCCCTATGGATGGAATAGGGAGATTAGGCCATGACCCACCACGCGGGCCCAGTGCGGATTGGCGGGTGCTAACAACTACAGATGCAGCCGGGATCAACGGCTTAACGTGCCTTCCGAAGCACGGAGGAGCTCGAGATAGTAAATTTTTTGGTCACCCGTCCAATGACCGACCACTGCGAAAGTTGCTTAACTTCAACGATCGCAGCAGAACGTGCTAACCACTTGCACCATCGAGCTCCTCATCGAGCTCAAATGTTAAAATCTTGTAAAGGTATTCATTTTACATTGTGGGTTACCTACAATGCGAAGAGATGGCGCTGCCTTGCAGCTTAAGAAATGCGAAGAGAAAATTCGACACGGACAACAAGGGCCGCGGTAGCATAATGGTCAGTGCATTCGCCCGGATAGCAAAGGGTTTGGGTTCGAGGCCTGGTCCGAGTGATTTTTTTTAGTTAAATTATCTTTAGATATAATATACCTGTTTCACAAGTCCACCATAAGCTCGTATATATCTGTCACACAAAGTGTTCAGAGGCTGCCGAGCTCGGATTACGAACGACAGCTCCGAGAACATCGCCGGGAGGGACTTCGCCGCCTCTATACTCTCCAATCGCGACGAATCTACACGAACACAATAATAATAATAAATAGATAAATATTTCCAACACACACCAATAAGCCTAACCTTAAAATAAGCATTGTAAGGCTGGTGTTATGGGACTAGGGTAACGGCTAGAATACATATGTATATACTTAAGTATATTTATACAGAAATACACATTAAATATCCACAACTGAAGTAATAAACGCTCGTATTCATCACACAAACATCTGCCCCCACCGGGATTCGAACCCAGGACCTCTCGAGTCGGCGACACCATGAAACCCGGCGTACAAATCACTCGGCCACGGAGGTCGACAAATAATCCTAGGTTTAATTTAATTTCGTCCTAATTATTAATCAAATAATATTTTTTATACATTTAAAAGTAGTTAATATCGATCGTTGTAATAAAATTAATTAAAACCGGAAGTGTGAGAAACAAACAATGGCGGGGCGGTGAGAGTTGACCGTCCCGCCATTATTCATTAATTAATTATTTATTAGGTACGTTATTTAAAACAATCACTTCTTTTAATTTAACAATAAGATTTTGAGGCATTAGCAATTACAAGATTTTCAACATAATTTATTTATTTATTAAAGGTCTGCCAACATTTTTACACTTTAACTTACATAATCACACTTATATGTAACAATTTTCAGCATAGTGCAAAAACAATTACTGGCAAACTCAACATGAACAAAAAAAAAAACGGAAATACATATATATATAAAGTATTACACTGGCATTATAACTAAAGGATATTTAATATAATTCTTACATTCGTCTATTCGCCTGTAACAACCAACTCACCACACCAATATCATAAATAACCATTGCACATTCAAGAAACTTAAACTATACTAAAAATTAAAACAAAAATGCATTAAAACACTAAGTTAAATGGAATATATATTGAATTAAATTTGAATTTGGCTTATAGTTGGAGTTCTTATCAGATACAGTAATTTTCGAAAACGTAACAAAGAAAGAGCATACAAGTCAATCGATCTACAAAACCTATTATGCTCGTCACACAGTCTATTGAGCACACTATGTGCGCCTAACTTAGTTCTAAAAAATTTCAATGAAAAGGGTTTAAAATTTACCAATCTGGTGTTTGGTCGAGGTATTTTAAATTTCACATTACTTAGTAATTTAGGGCACTCTGCTACACTGTTTACAATTTTATACAACAAGACCTGGTCGGCCACCCACCTACGATCCTCCAGCGAAGTAAACTTGAAATAGTCCAGTCTATCCCTATAAGATAACAAATTATATTTTTTACCCTGATGCACAGACAAGAAAAATAGAAACTTTTTCTGGACCTTTTCTAATCGTTCTATATGACAGTTATATTTAGGATTCCAAATACTCGAGCAATACTCAAGTGAACTGCGCACCAATGCAAAATAAGCATACTTTAGAGCATCAATTTTCTTAAAACGCTTGCAGTTACGCCATATAAAACCAAGAAGCTTTAAAGATTTTGCTATGATGTGATCATAGTGATGACGAAAAGAAAGCTTACGGTCTAAAACAACCCCCAGATCACGAATGGTCGAAACTTCTTCTAAAAGATGGGAATTGATAGAATATGATGTATTTAAAGCGTTGCGCTTTTTTGTGAATTTTATGTGTTTGCATTTATCCGGATTCAATGGTAGTTTATTAATTGAAGACCACTCAGCTATTCTATTGAGATCCTGTTGCAGTAATATGGATTCATTAAAATTTTCGTTTGTAATTGTTTTGTAAACTTTTAAATCATCTGCAAACAGTAAACATTCCGAATGTTGAACGACATTGACAAGGTCATTAATAAATATTAAAAAGAAAATAGGTCCTAGATGAGAACCCTGGGGGACGCCTGACGGAACGTAAAAGGGACTCGACTCATAGCCACATGCAACAACTTTTTGACACCTCCGAACAAGATAAGATCGGCACCAATTCAAGAGGGAACCATGCACACCGACTGAATGAAGCTTCTTTAATAATATTATATGGTTAACCTTATCAAATGCTTTACTTATATCAGTGTATATAGCGTCCACCAGTCGGCCCCGGTCTAGTTCCTCTGACAAATCCGTTATGAAGCAGGAGAGATTAGTGACAGTAGACATTTTCTGGCGAAAGCCATGTTGTTGCGAAGCAAGAACAGATTTAAAAGTATTAGCGAAATACTGACAAACAAGTGCTTCGAAAAGCTTATGAGAAACCAGACAGTAATGAGATAGGTCGGTAGTTTCGCACATCATTAGATACACCGGTCTTAGGGATTGGCAAAACATTGGCTTCCTTCCATCGTGTCGGAAAATTCCCAGAAGAGAGTGAGTGGCTGAATATGAGATATAGTGGATAAGATAAAGCAGACGCGCAGCTACGAAGAAATATAGGTGGTATACCGTCTGGTCCGGCTCCTTTCTTTGGATCCAATTCCTTCAGAGCTCTCTCTATACTAACTTCTGATATGGAGATATTGTTAAGGATATTATTTAAGGAACAATCTGAATCGACATCTTGCTTTTGAGATCCATCAGCATCAGCCACATAAACGGACGAAAAATGCTTAGCAAACGCATTACATATTGAACTCGGGGTATCATACCTGCATCCATCCAAATACATTTGACCTGGTATAGAATCAGTATTTTTACGTTTATTTTTAATGTAACTCCAGAACGCCTTAATATTTCCACAACTAATAGACTCCTCAACCTCTCTCAAATAGTTTGTATAGCATTTCTTGATTAGGTGATGACATCGAGATCTAGCTTCGCTGTAATCGAACCTATCAACAGGATTATTGTACAATTTTACTTTTTTATGGAGTTTTTCCTTTTCACGGATAAGCTTAATGAGATTTTTGGAGTACCAAATAGGGTACTTACCTGAGTTGCAAGACGACTTCGGAACGTGTTTTTCAATTATTGAATCAACTATCGAGTAAAATGTTTCAACCATGCCATCAACGGCATTCGTGTTCTTAAATTCATGATCCCAATCAATAGTTGAATCTTTGCAGTGCGTTTTCGCTTTGATTCAAAGAAATTACATAGCGTTCTGAATCAACTGCTGATAATACCTGGGCGTGTGACCAAATCGGATTTGACTTCTCTTCTTGTTGATCATTATCGCCGAGGGCCTCTTCTTGTGTGCTATCAAGCGGTATATGCGGTACATGTTGGCGATTTAGGCGTATTAAACGAAAGACTATGAAAACACGTCTCAAGTTGCAAGGACTAACGCAAAATGGCGTATTAGCCTACGCAGCTAACCGTTAGCGTATTACACAGGTTCTACTGTATTAACAATACTACCAAAAGTCAAAATATCTTAATTCAAATTGGATGCAAAGTACAACTCTTTTGAATCTTCCATATTTTATTTGCCACCACCAGTTAAGGTACCGTAGGATAAGTCCGACATTGGTGCCGATTCTGGCGTGATTCTCTAAACTTAAAAATAAATTTAACATCAGTCTCTCCTTTTCATTCTGTACAGAGAACGATAACGATACACTGTTGTCAAATTTAAGTTTAGATTTAGAGAATCGTGCCAGAATCGACACCATTGTTACTAACCTGTACTAATAATTCTATGGATGTTTATTTGGAATTAACGATAATTATAATAATTATTATAATACAGTTGCGTCACCTTGGTCGTCGTGGTCAGTTTTATCATCATCATCATCATCTCCGGGTGGAGGGGAGGGTGATGGTGCGTGTTGTAGTCTCGGTTTCTTCTGCGCGCGCAATACTCTTTCAATTTCGTCGTCCGTGTCTGAGGATTCTGTGGACAATTCATAATCTATATATATAACTCAAAGGTGACTGACTGACATAGCGATCTATCAACGCACAGCCCAAACCACTGGACGGATCGGGCTGAAATTTGGCATGCAGGTAGATGTTATGACGTAGGCATCCGCTAAGAAAGGATTTTCATCAATTCTACCCCCAAGGGGGTAAAATAAGGAATGAAAGTTTGTATGAAACTTTGTCAATTTTAAACCGATCGGGCTGAGACTTTGTATGCAGGTATAAGAAGAATCATAGATGAATGTCATTGTGTATAATACAAGCCTGAGAACAAAAACTGTAGTCTACACTTCAGCTCTACACCGAAACGAAGAGAGGGCGGGCCGCTAGTAATAAATATATCCATAGCCATATTTTTGATGTGAAACATGTTTTGGCGCACGTAAAACCGATTTCTGGTGTGACGACGCTCGCCGATAACATGTAATATATAATAGTGCTCAACTAGACTAAAAGTTTAAATAAAAAAAATAAAAAAATATCCCCGCGGGCCAGGCAGCAGACGGGACTCGAACCAACACCCTCCGCTATCAGATCGAATGCACCGATCATTATGATTCTGCGGCCCAAATTGTAAGTGTCCATTTTTTTCTAGTATTTGTTAAGCTGCAAGGCTGCGCCATCTGTTCGCATTGAAGGTAACCCACAATGTCAAATGAATACCTTTACAAGTATTAAACATTTGGAAAAATAAATAAGTCCTTATAAGAGAAAGAGTCCTTATTTTCTATATTGAAAAAAAAAAAAGATTTTTGTAGATTTTGTTTTTTAATGCAAGGTTTTACGCTATAATAACTTTATCAATGTCATTATTAATCTTTTCTTCTAAGGAATTTATAATACGTAAAACACCATTTTTTAACCAAAATTGAACGACTATTACTCTTTTATTCTCTTATTACTAAACTAATAAACCTTATCGTTATAATTTTCGTAAAAAAATCATGAAAAGCACTATTATCCTGCAATTTTCCAGGTCTTTGAACACTTTAGCTTTTAGAGGAGGGGAGAGGATTCCCTACTCGAATAAAAATTAGCACTTTAAAATTCAATATTTCGCAAGCGGAGCCCTAAATTGCAAAAAATAGTCTGAGAAACCCCTACGTAATTTTAAAAGACCTATTTAACGATATCCCACACGATGGGGTAGACGATGAAAAAATAAATAAATGTCTGATTATATTACAGACAAAAATGCTTGGGTTTGAACTGTTCCAATCATTCCAACAGGTTTTATATATTAAATAAAACATGATTGTATTGACGTTGTAACAACATAATGATTTGTAAATGTTATTACATTATACTTTTAATGTTGTGGAATTTTTTCTCTCGATTTTCTCCGCAGCTAAAAAAAATTCAATAAGGAGTGGTAGAGAAAAAAAACGAGCGAGCCTTACAGTGGTCGCGTATGATGTGTAACATTTGAAACCTCACCTTATATTAGTAAAAAAAGAAATAAAACCTACTACAAAAGGAATAAGCCATTTGAACATTATGTTCTAAAATCAAATCAAATAGCACGCGTTTTCGCGGCTTCCTGTTACACACTTCCGTCCCATTTCACGAAATCACTCCCACAAATTGCAGGAGAGCGAGAGGAAAGATGTTACACATCAAAAAAATATTGGACGATTTAAAGGAGTTGTACTATACATCCAATTTAAATAAAGATATATTGAATTAAACAAGTTTCAACGGTATAGATGAACTGATTTTATTTATTTAATGACTGGTGCGCGTGATAACCAAAGAAAAGAATAAGATATATTGATCATAATTTTTATTTTTTAAGCATGTAACTGCTTGATGTTTTAATCTAAAGAAAAATAAAAATTATAACTTTAATTGCTCTTTCTTCTTTTAAATGTTTAATACTTGTGAAAGTATTCATTTGACATTGTGGGTTACCTACGATGCGAAGAGATGGCGCTGCCTTGCAGCTTAAGAATGGCTAGAGGAATTTCGACGCGGCTGTCAGGGCCGCGGTAGCATTATTGGTCAGTGCATTCGCCCGGATTGCGAAGGGTGCGGGTTCGAAACCCGTCTGCTGCCTGGTCCGCGTGGATTTTTTTCTAGTTATGTTTTCTGAGAAGATATATTGATTTCTGAGATAGAAAACGCATATTGTTTGAGCACCTCCGTGGCCGAGTGGTTTGTACGCCGGGTTTCATGGTGTCGCCGACTCCAGAGGTCCCGGGTTCGAATCCCGGTGGGGGCAGATGTTTGTGTGATGAATACAAGCATTTGTACTCCAATCATGGATGTTTAATATGCATTTCTATATAAACATACTTATATATGTATAGTATATGTATTCTATCCGTTACCTTAGCATCCCATATCACAAGCCTTACAGTGCTTACTTTGGGGCTAGGCTAATTGGTGTGAGTGTTGGAAATATTTATTTATTTATTGTATTATACTTCTAAATATGAGTTAAACAAGAGTACTTACCATCACAACTAGCTCGCCTTACGGGACTATCGCTGGAGGGATGGTTATCTTTGGGATCGGCGGCATATCTCCTCCAGGGCGGCTGCATACAGATCCTGGCAGCCTCCCTCAGCCACCCCCCCCTCACGGCTCGCAAACTGTCCCCGCGCTCCGAACGCGCCGTACGAAGTTTAGGAGTGTCGGCGAAGGCACAACTATTAACGGATATACGGTTACCAGTGATGTCATTGCTGCCAACTTTTTGGTAGATCTACCAATTTTCACTTCAGTCTACCTATCTACCACCCTAGACCTAAAAACTACCTATTTTTGAAGTGAAACTTCTTTATCGGCGTTGGAAAAAAAATTACCGTCACATTTTTTCGGTTACGCGTCACGTTTTTTGGTTACGCGCCATCTTTTTTTTAAAAGAGCACTATTTACCTCGTCCGAACAATTGCTTCTTTTGTCAACTTTAAAAAAAAAGTATTGACAGCAAATATTCGTGTTTCACACAAGGTAAGGTAAGGTAAGGTAAGATAAGGTAAGGTGTAGTTATACCCCTTTAGTGGGTGAGTTTTTGAAAAATCTTAGCGCACGCCTATATATATATTTCTGGAAAGTTGCATGTAGATCATTTTTCGAAAAAAATAAAGCCATAGAGAAGTTTCACTTCTTACGTGTGTACACTAGTACACGCACACATTTTTTTTTAATTAGTTAGTCATATCACCACTTTGAATTATTTTTGTATCGCCGAGCGACGTTGCGATGGTTGCGTGAGCCATGCTACGATTCGTCAAGCATACATAGACTCCAAGCCATAATAACACAAAAAAAAGTCAGCAACAGTTCGCCGTTTGCCGCGTTCGCACCATTTCGCGCCCATAGACATTATTATACTGTTCTGTGGCCCATTCCCGGTTGGTTTGCTCCTGTGTTGTGTTGTTTTGTTGTTAAAACTAAAAAACTACGTATTAATGGTACTGATTGCTATTTGTTCTGTGTTGCGTGCATTTATTTATATTGTGGATTCTGACAGTAGAAAAAGCGATGCACAGAGTTGTAGGTTAGGAACTCCGCCACGAAAAGCTAGAAACTCTAGAGGGATCGTTGCGTACTAAAAGAGTCATAGCAAACAACAGACAGCCTAGCGCAGAATATTTAAAAAAAATCAATAAAAATATGCATAATTTCCAAAAATAAACATTTTAAGTACAGTTCCTAAGCATATTTAATCTTGAAAAATCTTCTAAATTGAGGTGGTAGATCTGCCAATTTTGCGTTTTACATCCTACCAACTTCTACATTTGGCACATAATCTACTAATTTTCTAAAATTCGGGTTGGCAGCACTGTATATTACGTTACTAGCGGCCGCCCGCGACTTTGTACGCGTGGAGTTAGTTATTCGTTGTTACGGAATGCGTTCAAGAAATAAAGGTTCGCTGCTCGTTCTTCGTAGGTGATAGCGTGATAATATGTAGCTTATATGTTGACCCGACTTCTGAATAATATTCGTGCCAAAGAAGTAAATCCATGCAGTACCTTTTGAGTTTATTCCGGACATACATACAGACAAACATTCTTAAAACTATATTTTTGGATACGGTATCGACTGTAGATCACACCCCAAGTATTCTTTTAAAAAAATATTCAATGTACAGTTTTGACTTTACAACAATTTTTTTATATGTATATATATGTTTTCAGATTTTTAAGCATTTAACTGCTAGATGTTTGAATCTAAAGAAAGTTTTACTAGAAAAAAAATAGACTCGGTCCAGGCAGCAGACGGGACTCGAACCCGCACCCTTCGCTATCCGGGCGAACGCACTGACCATTATGCTACCGCAGCCCTGACGGCCGTGTCAAATTTTCTCTAGCCTTAAACTGCAAGGCTGCGCCATCTGTTCGCATTGTAGGTAACCCACAATGTCAAATGAATACCTTTACAGGTATTTAACATTTAAAAGAAGAAATAGCAATTATAGTTATATAATTATGTGCTTTAATATGGAATTTAAGCGATAAAAAGTTAACATAAAATTTACCGATAAAGCTAAACTATTTGAATTCATATAAACTTAAGAAACGGTGAAATAAACGCAGTAATTAAACTGTAATGGAGATTTTGGGGGGCGTGTGTCAAAGTATGAAAATAATTGAAAAAATATGTACTTAATACAAGACAACAGAGAATGACACAAAAGTGGGCTACATGAAATGTTGATGTTTCATAATATTATTGTGTGTTATATTTCATAAGTGTGTGTGTAACTACGTAGTGCACCGATATTATAAATAAGTAGGGGAAACCACCCAATCATTGGCACTCGTCCTATTATTGGCACTTTTGAGTTTAATTCGGAAAAACAAGGAGATAATAGATTATTCAAGGTTGTTACATATTAAAAAGAAAAACCTAGTATGGTTAGGAAATTTGAAAATTGGCAGCATTATTCCTACAATCTATTGTTTCCTGGTTTTTTCGAAATAAACTCAAAAGTGCCAATAATAAGAAGAGTGCCAATGATTGGGTAGTTTTCCCTACGTATAACAAAGTTTTTACCCGACTGCGCAATGCAAGAGCGCGAAGCACGACGCGCAGACAGGGTTATGTGTTTAACAGTCTATATATGTATGTTTGTTCCTTTGTGGCACACTAGAGACCAAACGCCTGGACCGATTTTGATGATTCATACATCAATCGATTCGTCTCAATCATGGGAGTGCTACTAAAGACATGATAGTAATCAAAATTCAATATGGGCAAAATTAGGCGCCATATTGTGACGAAGTAAAATAAAATAAGTTGACAAAATATGTCGAGTGGGGTATCACTGTCTAGATAATCAAAAATCATATTTAGGTTCCTAACACCATTTTTCATTTAATATGATTGTTCAGAATCTACAACGCATTAAAGTTTTATATTAACCATTTACGCTTTTAATTTCAATCTTACGTTTGTATGGATCTTTGTTACTCTTTCACCTAAAAAATACTGAATGGATTTTAATGAAACTTAACAGTAATATAGCTCATATATGATATATAATAATTTATGTAGTTATTGAGTGAATTGGCCAATATATAACAATAAGTGTCATATAAGACGGAAAAAAATCTCCCATCTGCGAGCCATTTTGGCCTGCACTGCAAAAACAATAAAAGTTACATGAATGTAATGTAGAGTGAAAATGTATCTCTTAAATAGTTCTAAAAAAAGTCCGTGACACCATTTATCTATTTTTAATGTGTAAGTCATTACCGCTAAAATAGAGAATCAAAACTAAAATATTATTTGATATCTATTTCCAAAATGCACATTTTGTTTTAACAAATCATTTTTTATCAAAACAAATACTTTTATCGCTTTTGATATTTAAAGGCGTTAACTTTGCTTTTTACACTATGTCATTTCGACAAATATTTAAAAAGTTACAACGATGAGAAAGTGATAGCGCGGTGTACTATGTAAAAGAAAAAAAAAATGGGCTATACGCAGTATCTGATCCTATACGAAGCACTAACAATAAAACTGTGATACAGTTCCTTCTTATTAAATGATGAAAAATATATTATCATAATAAGTATTTATGATTATTGAATTTTAATGAAAAACTCAGAATTTTACTGTTTTTCATTTTTTTAACGATATTACTTAATGTTACAAAAAAGGTTTACTTAATATAATGACAAATAACCCATTTTTCGCTAGTAAGTACATACTTATTGGAATCTCTGTATTTATTAATCAGCTCGCGATAATATTGGTTTTGTAATAATTCTGCAAAATTCAAAGTAAATAATGTAGATTTTTATAGGTAAATCACCCCTTTCATCACCCTACACCATAAGAACCAAGTTCCCATCTACTTCTATATGGGAATTCATTATATTCGATTTAGCTATTAGGGCACCGAAGCGCAACAAACAAACTCACTTTCACATCTATAATATTATATTATACTTACTAGTGATCCACCCGGGCATTGTACGGGCGAAATTTATTTATCGGGATAAAATATAGCCTATGTCACTCGGACAAAATGTATTTAAATAAAGAAAAGTGTAATAATAAATAATGTAGCTACCTTATGATGAATTATTTGAAACCGGTTCAGTAGTTTGACAGATTATTTGTTACAAACATACAAATATCGCCTCTTTATAATATTAGTATAGATAGTTAGGATAAGTATTTAATTGATGAAAAAGATTTAAAAATAAAGTAAGTAATAGGTTTATTTGATTATATTTGTAAAATTTACTTAGCATTTGTGCTTAACAGTGATAAGTAATTCGGTATTTTTTTAAACAAAAAAAAAATTGCAAAATAATTGCCATGATTACTCTTGAGTCTCTTGAGATGAGTACTCTTCATTCGAGCTTTACACTACCAATAAAAAAGGGTCGATCACAAAGTCTTTGACCTGTTATATGTGAACGCTTTAAAAGAAAACTACAAAGAGAACTATAAATTGATAATAAATGAGACTGCTATGGTGCTCTATCTAACGTTATGAAAATTTTATTATGCGCCTTTAGTTTAATCAAATATTATAAACTTTGCTTTGGTGATTGCATAATTATTTAGTTTAGTGATCTAAGGCAGTTGCCACCATTGTCCAAAACAACAAACGGGAATTACTGCTTTCTTCAACCTGCGATATAAACGTCATTGATTGGTATTGTATATAGGGTGATTAAAAACATTTGAAGTTAACTTCTGGCATCTACATATTGGGTTTCTGTGAATTATGTAGGTATATCAAATTATGAGACTAGGGACTGATACTGAATTTGTGTATATCACAACTAGGGATGCAAAGTCTTTTAAAATATTGATATTTATATTGATATTTATATCGAAGTCAGGAAAATATCGATATCCGATATATCGACCATTTTAACTCGATATTATCGATATATCGATATTTTTTCCTTTTTATTTTTTATTGACATTAGAATACGGGGTGAGTGTGACACATTCATATGTTTGTTGGCGAGTTTCTCGCAAAATGCATTGAGCTAGCTTTTTCGTTAAACACGCTTGATGAAATCGCGCCAAGCAGGATTTTTGTTATTGGTTCGCACGGTTTGTGTTTCAGCCACGACAGAAAACCAAAAAAATAAAATTATTATCCTGATCAGATCACTCACATTCGTTAGTACGAATGCGCCAATCTGCATATGTGGGACGACATTTGCGAATGCCTTCGCTAAGTTTTCACTACATTCGTGCTTTTCCAACCTATGTCGGTTTTTTAGCGCACATCAAATACGCAAATTGCTTCATCAAATACGCAAATTGCTTAGTCTCACACACATCAGGGGCGTGCTCATGGCTTCAGTATAGGGTAAGTCCAAAGCTTTCAAAATTACTAAACCTATCTTACTTTCTTGACTTGGCGAGCTTAAAAAAATTACGATTTATATAAGATTCTTAATTTTGTTCTGTGTTATATTACAATGATATTAAATTCCAATTAGTTGACAATTATCTAGAAAGAGAGGCAAGGATTTTATTTAAGTGCATGAGTTACCATTAGGTATACGATTATATCTATATACGTTGGTGTCGATTCTGGCATGATTATCTAAACTTAAAACTAAATTTAACATCAGTCTCTCCTTTTCATTCTGTATAGAGAATTACAAGGATACACTGTCGTCAAATTTAACAAATATACTAAATATTTGTTGGGGTTCAAGATTTTTTTAATACATTATTAATAGTTATTTCGATATTATTTAATTTAGATAGTCATAGAAGGTAAATTAATTGATATTATTGTGTTCAAATTTAGTCTACGAAATATCGATATTTTGGAATTTCCGATATCGATATTATCGATATCAGTGAATTTTAAATATCGATATAAATATCGATATTTTGGTCTCGATATTATCGATATTCCGATATATCGTTGCAACCCTAATCACAACCTTAGACGTCCGGCATTGACATGACAATGCAGCCACTGCCAATTTTAAATAGTCGACGAATAAAAGTAAATGAATTTTATATTTACTGCTAAACTATTAAAAAAAACATAAACAAAAGATGAGTTTTTGAGTAAGTTCTAGTTTACTATAAAATTTACATACATTAGAGATATTTATGTAACGACTTGATTTAACTTCACACATTTTTGCGAAAATTGAGGCCCATCTGTAGCCTTGACTCCGCTGGTAAAGTCTCTATATGTCTTAATAAATCAATCTTTTAGACCGACGCAAGGTACTTAACAATTCCCGCGATATTAATTCCCTTACTGAAGTAACAAGACTACGGTATATACCGTCTTAAAATACTAACTAACTAAAAAGTGTGAAATAAAAAAAGGTAAATTTAAAAAATCAAAAACCCGACTGCGAAGTATAATTAAGCAGTCGGGTTTTTTGATTTTTTAAATTTACCTTTTTTTAAAAATAACCTACTAAAATTAAAGATATTTATTGCAGACATATAACCCAAGCTGTTGTCCGAATTAGCTGTAAATTTTCTCAGGTACTTACTTAACTCAAAATACACGGTGTATTTTACGAACATCGATTGTTTTTGTTAACAAAAATTTAAGTAGGTTTGTTTACCTAACGAACCAACGGCGTAGCCTTTCGACATTCAAGAGTACTTGTACCAGTTTAGACTGAATGAACGATATAAAAATTTTTCCTTTTTTTACATACATGAGCAGATTGCAGCTGGGTCCCCAGTCGCGATGAACTTTAGCCCCCATCCTGAGAGCTAGCTCCCTCAGTTCTCCTCGCTCCGGGTTCAAGTATCCACTCATAGTGAGTTCCACGCCTGCCAGCACCGAACCCAACTCTGTTAACGATTAAATCATTATGAAAATTTAATATATGTAAGAAAAAACTATGATGCATTTGCAAAAAAGTCAAACCCATAACTTTAACACGAGATTTAAGAACAAGCTTGCCGTTCCATGTTTCACACTCCAAAAATCAAGAGGTTCATTTCTGGGTTGTAGTATTGCATTGTTTAATAAAGTTCCCCTAGATCTGATTGAGCTTCCGCTGACTAAATTTAAAACTCAGATCAAGAATACTCTTATGAATAAGGGCTATTATAAAGTTGATGATTTTCTGAATGATCGTAATGCATGGACATAGTGTTTCTTATAATTTGTTATTTAATGGGTATTAGTCATTTTTCATAACAGTAATATTGTACCTATCTAATGCCGCTTCATAATGTTAAATATAAAATTTATTGTAACTATATATTTATATCCTTAATGATGTAATGGAATGTGATTTCAGACGTATCTCTGAAGTCATTTTTCAACTTGACGACTCTGTATATAACAATACAGGGAGAGAAAAACAGCCCTTGCTGAGTTTCTTACCGGTTCTTCTCAGTACAAGATCTCCCGCCGTAGTTTTGCGAACCGATGGCGTAGCTTCTTGACCTTCACAAGTGCTTGTAACAGCCTAGACTGATAAATGACTTTTCATTTCATTTCAGTTCATCTAAACAAAATATAGCTTGAAAAAATTCCACGAGGATCGGGCAGCACACGGGACTCGAACCCGCACCCTTCGCTATCCGGGCGAATGAACTGACCATTATGCTACCGCGGCCTTGATGGCCACGAATGACGATGAATAAAAAATATCATTATCTCATTTTTGTACACCATAAAGCTGGTCGTTACGTTCCTTAAAATAAAGTTGAGCGACGCGATGGCTTGTTCATGCGTCATGCTCGTGAACGAGTGCTGCCACCGGGGATGAGTCTGCCCATACTACTTTACCATTGAAGATGTTATTGTAGTCGATTTTGGCATGTATCTCTAAACTTAAACTTAAATTTAACAACAGTGTATCCTTGTCAATCTCTATATAGAATGAAAAGCAGAGAATAATGTCATGATCGACATCATTGCCTAGTTACACTTAAGAGCCCTTTTACAAAATTGCGCCGCTGCCGTACTGATCGGCGCGTAGGTAGATTTGTACAAGTATATATTGCATTTTACGGGTGATGTTTCGAGTCTTATAAAATCATTATTAATGAACTAATTATAAAATTATATACATATTTCAGTAGTTTAATGATGGTAGATTAGTTTTATGAAAGTTTTTGATAGTAATTCTATTTAATTAATTAACAAAATACGAGGTAAACCTGCATTATTTTTTGGGAAAACTGACGGAGGTTAGAAGTTTTTTTTGATAATTAATGAGGTGGAAAATCAAAATTCTAATACATTATGTTACAACAAAAATATATTTCTGATGTCGTAGTAATTAATTTGGTCTAATTTATTAAACGTTATTGAGAGATTGAGGCGTTTGAAGTTGTGCATATTATCGTTTTTTCCGTAAACAAGCTGCAGTAGAACGATCAGTACAAAAGAGGAAAATAGTATTCTACATTAACTTACGATAGGAAGAATCAACCTACTGTTTACTATTATTTCTATTGGAAATAGTCAAGATCTTTTCTTACGAGACGCTCAAAAATTACGATATTTTGCGAAAAATGTGAAAGGGCACTTAATATAAATTCACTATTTGTATTTATACTGTATGACACAGCCATCAAAATGCAGAGGTGAACAATTAATGCATATATCACATGTAATGAAAGGTGACTTCATGAATCATTCATTTCTCAATTTGAAGTCTCTGTAAATAATAAAATAGGGGGAAAAACAGCCCTTTGCTTGAGTCCCTAGTTATGATTTGATACACTTTGACGTTAATACTGAGGGCTACATTTCTAATTCAGGTTTTAAATGTTTTGGGCACGTACACCAGACATTGGCTAAATGTTGAAGGAGTCATAAAAAATAAATTTAAATAATGTATCTGGTAAATGTGAAAAAACCCTGGAACTTGGAATGTTTACAGGACTGTCCTAAATTGACAACCACTTGCCGAATTCTATAAAAGCCCTTCAATGTACTCGTGAATCTTACAAGAAATATAAATATATATTTTTCCAAAATAAAGCTTATTATAATTTCCAAGAATGTCTCGTAGAAAAAATTGATTGTGTCTTACTGTAATTCCAAATATATTTGGAAAAAAGGCAAGAAAATTATTATAATACGATATCATTGCGATGCTATGACGGGTTTTGTGAGAAAATTATTATAATACGATATTATTGCGATGCTATGACGGGTTCTTGTGAGAAAATTATTATAATACGATATTATTGAGATGATATGTAAGGTGCTTGTTTGTGACTAGAATTAACGTAAGAATGAAAATGTATAAAAAGAATACAATTAAACAAATAAATTTTACTGCACCAACTGAAAAGTTCAATCATACAGATTTATTTCTTTAATATTCTAGTTAAAAATTCTTTGATTGCAGTTAAAGAGTTTTCAAAATAAAGATGGAGTCTTCGTTCAGCAAAACTTTCTATCTCCAGTATTTAAGGTACTCTCCCTCTATAGCAGAGTCGTGGGACGCCCTGATTATTTAAACAATGAAAAAAATAATTTTCAAATGATATACATACCTTTCGCAGGCTTTTCCCTTGATCGTTTCTTCGTATTGAAACTCTCATTAACCCGACTCGTCGACGGCTGATCATTGTTTGTGTACTTCCGCTTCTCATCGCGACTGGGCGTTGGTGATCCTTTATCGAACCTGCTATCTCTACCATTATCCGTTTTCTTTACGTGCTTCAATTTCCTAGAGCTGTCAGTTTCTTCATCTTGACTTTTACCACTTCGGGTATATTCCTTTTTAATATATTTACTGGTATGTTTATCGCTCCCGTTTCCAACAAGTCTTTCGTCCTTTCCTGTTTCACTATCGCTTGGTTTTTCTTTCCTCTTATCACTGTCTTCTGTTGTCACATTTTTACTAGAAGCATTTTTCTTTGTATCGGATTGTTTGGCTTTCTTGCTGCTACTAGGCTCCTGTTTGCATTTCTCGTCAACAATATGGTCTATTTTGGCATGTGGTTTTTCATCGTCGTCCGTATACATGAGGCTGGATCTCCGTCTGTCTGTGGAACATTCTTCATTCGCGTGTTCCGAACGTTTGTTCTTGGTGATGGGAGTTTTTACTAATTTGGTGGCGGAATTCGATATGTTTTTTAGGGCTTGAGACGTGGCGTGTCTTATTTGGGATCCTGGAAACTTTGGGCATAAATCTGGAAATGTGTTTGAAGGTGATTCATTATTTTTATGCACTTTAAATATAATTAAAATTTTTAGTACAGCCGGGGTAAGAAAAGGTTCGTCGCCTTAAGATATATTTTCGTTTGCTCAGAATTAGCGACACTCGCTTTACCGATCGAGTATGACATATTGCAGTCGGCTGTCGACTGTCACTCGCCGCCAGTTGCGGTGGCAGTTACAATCCAATTTTAGAAGTGAAATTTCTTTAGTTACGCTTGATTTGGGGGTAAACTGGCGAATGTGTTACGATTAATGTTATCGGTGACTCATCGGTAAACAATGAACAATACCCGTCACAAAATAATTGAATCTAGTGCTTGGTGGGTGATAACGGACCCAGCGCGGATTGGAGGGTTATAACGGACCCAGCGCGAATTGGTTGGTGATAACGGACCCAGCGCGGATTGGTGGGTTATAACGGACCCAGTGCGGATTGTTGGGTGATAACGGACCCAGCGCGAATTGGTTGGTGATAACGGACCCAGCGCGGATTGGAGGGTTATAACGGACCCAGCGCGAATTGGTTGGTGATAACGGACCCAGCGCGGATTGGTGGGTTATAACGGACCCAGTGCGGATTGTTGGGTGATAACGGACCCAGCGCGAATTGGTTGGTGATAACGGACCCAGCGCGGATTGGTGGGTTATAACGGACCCAGTGCGGATTGGTGGGTTATAACGAACCCAGCGTAGATTGGTGATTTCTTTTTCTATCAACAATTCTTTAGGTTAAGTTTTATGATTTTCAGATCATTGGAGCTAAAGAAGTTTCACTTCAGTCGTGTGCTCATAAGCACACTCGCTTTATTTAGACTACAAAGTATTAACGTAGGACTATGCTTCGTGATTGTTCGTGTAATATCGGAGATAAGCCAAAGATATGTATGTTGCCGTTTGTACAGTGGTGCGGACGCTGTTCATAACAACATATATTTGTCTCTTTTCAAGTCTAATGTTAAAAAAAACGAGCGAGCCTTACAGAAGTCGCGTATGATGTATAACATTTGAAATTTTACCTTATATTAGTAAAAAAAGAAATAGGAAGTCGCGAAAGCGCGCGCTATTTGACTTTAGGACATAATGTTCAAATGGCTTATTCCTTTTGTAATAGGTTTTGTTACACACTTCCGTCCCATTTCAGGAAAGCGAGACACAAATTGCAGGAAAGCGAGAGGAAAGATGTTACACATTAATAATATATACGAGTCGACTTTATGACCATTTTGACGACCTCCGTGGTCAAGTGGTATGAACGCTGGGTTTCAAGGTGTCGCTTACTCAAGAGGTCCCGGGTTCGAGACCCGGTGGTGGCACATGTAGTGTGATGCATACGAGCATTTGTACTCCAGTCATGATGTTTAATCTTTATATATATAATTCTTCTGTGAGTGTGTATGTCACTGAACTTCTCTTAAACGACTGGACCGATTTTGATGAAATTTTTTGTGTGTGTTCAAGGGGATCTGAGAATGGTTTAGATTCACAATTTTGTCCGCTGGACAACCCCTATTTTTTTAGGGCGGTACAAAGTTCGCTGGGTCAGCTAGTATTTCTATATAAATATACATATATATGTATTCTATTAGGGACACGATATCGAATAGAAAGTATTAATACTGTACTCATGAGTAGTATCGGAATAAAAGTATCGTACTCGTAAAAGTATTTAAACAAAAGTATCGGTACTTCGAAGTATCGATTACATTTCATAGGGCCATATGAGCACCCCCCCCCATTCCTCCCCCTGGCTTAAAATTAAAAGAAAAACTATCAAATTTTATTATAGTACGTATAATCAAAAACAAAAAAAGGACATGTAAATTCACAAATTTCTCTATTATGTAGATACTCTTAAAAATATGTAATGTTAATATAATCAACTGCAAAACTAAACGTGCGTAATTCAAGTACGTAAGTCTCAGGACACACTAGATTGCTTGTGCTTCCAATTATATCCACGCCATGGAATGTTTTAGAAGGATTGCTGATTCCACTAGATGGCGTTGCGTTTAATATCTAAATTTTTAAAGGTATCGATACTTGCCAAAAAGTACTCATTTAGTTGAAGTATCGAAAACCAAGTATCGAGTACAAAAGTATCGGTATCGAAAGGAAAAGTACTCGACACCACAAAGTATAGATACTTTTTCGTGTCCCTATATTCTATCCGTTACCCTAGTATCCGATAACACAAGCTTTACAGTGCTTACTTTGGGGCTAGGCTAATTGGAGTGTTAAAAAAAACTGTTTCTATGCTTTAGGTCTTGTTCTGAGGGCTGATTCTCTCCCACCCTAGTTCGTGTCCGTATTGCGGTATGGCTATATAAGTGGTATAATTTCATTCCCTACCTGTGTCAGTGGTAATGGAAGTGTTGTGTGCGGCAAACAGCTCCCCAGGTTTGAAGTCATCGTCTTCATCATCATCGTCACCAGTGATGGTGGGCAACACTAACGTGGGCCGGTGGGACGATGAATCTGCCCCTTCCGGTTCATATATCTGAACGAAACTCAGCCCGTACTAAAGACAAATAAAACCATTGTTAATTTTCATACACATTTTCAACGGAAAAAGTTGAAAAAGACTAAACTTTAAATCTAAAGAAAATATAACTAGAAAAAATTCGACGCGGACCAGGCAGCCAGGACTCGAACTCGCACCCTTCGCAATCCAGGCTAATGCACTGACCAATTATGCTACCGCGACCCTCACGGACCGCGTCGAAATTCCTCTAGCCATACTTAAGCTGCAAGGCTGCAGCGCCATCTCTTCGCATTATAGGTAACCCACAATATATATAATTTCTTTAGATTTAAACATCAAGCAGATATATGCTTAAAAAAAAAGACTAAACATCTTAATTACTAAAAAGTGAATATTTTAGGTTCATAGAAGTTGACTTTTTTTCATCAAATTACAAATTTCATTTATGAGAGTAAAAGTTTCATGCAATTGTTTAGGCCAATAATCCAGCTCGAAGGACCATATTTTGCGTTTATTAAACAAATCTGGTTATTTTTCTATAAGATTAATTATGAAAATTATACTATCCATGAAACAACACAGCCTTTATAAATAGAAAAAAAATAGGCAATTTCATTACAGTACGAATAGTTTATTTGATTATAGAACACTCGCTCACCTTGCAGTGCTTATTGTATGGCTGCGAGCACAGCACCCGCACGCGGTCCCAGCGCTGGGCCGCAGCACCGGGCTGCAGCTGGGATGACGGAAATGATCGCACGCGCTCTAATCCTGAGCTCCCGTCGCCCGCTCCACGGGATTCCGACGGAGACAGGAATATACTGCTCGCCACTATCACCTGACAGGGAGGATCAAGCTTTACGTTTATTGTATGTTAAATAAAACAAATTTCAACGGTATAGATGGACTGGTTTATTTATTTATGACGTTTCATAGGCGCGACGTTACATTAGATTTGATAAACCACATATCCTCGCAACTGATCAACGATTCATTCCTAGGATGATACGCGAAGCGATGAGATTAAGAAATATCCAAGTTTCAATAGGGATGATGGTCGGTATGTACCACCATAAAAACGAAAATAACAGACATTCTATCTAGAGTGGACGAACAAAAATGGAGGTGGACAAGCCACTTGCTGAGAGGTACCATAGACAAATGGAGCGAGCGAGTGACAGTCTGGTATCCTAGAGATGGAAAGCGCAGGAGAGGACGCCAGTTTAGAAGATGGGAGGATGAAATCAGCTGTACTCTGGGTCCATATTGGACAAGAGTCGCAGCTGACAGAGGTGAATGGCGTCGGTTAGAGGAGGCCTTTGCCAAAAGGCACACAGAACTGCGTGACTTATTGTAAAATGTTTAATCAATGTTATGGTAAGAAAGTTCTGAAATAAAGGCTATTTTATTTTATTTTTTATTTATGTACCACCAGCTTTGGAACCCATTATACAACAGATAAAATCTCAACCCCGAACACACTGCAAGACCAAAAGATACTTTTAGTTGTTTTTGTTTGTTTCCCCCAACCCCAAGCACACACTGCAAGACCAACAGATACTATTTGTTCTTTTTGTTTGCATAATTTAACATAAGAAGAAGATAGAAAGCCTATCTGAGTTTGTTTCGGCAGTTCTTCTCAGAAAGGTCTCCCAATTTTGGAGCTGCTGGTAGTTTACAGTAGTTAGGGTCAAATTAATAAACTCAAAACTATAAAAAAGAATTAAATAAAGTACTTTATTTATTAAATTTGCTAATAAATTCATACAAAGACAATAAAGTTTTAAAAATATTACAAATATCCAAAAGCTCAATAAAAGTTTTTTGAAGGTCGCTCTACAAAGTATATAAATCATATTTCAGATGACGCAGCCCAAAAAGGATGCAAAACGTCTTAAACAAATAAATCAGAGCATCTATAGCGTTGAAACTGTTGTTTTATTTAGTGAGTGGTGTGCGTGAAAACCTAAGAAACAAATATGTATTGTTATTTTTGCACTGAACTGCTACATTTATAGGTACACTAGAGGTGCGGAATTTGAGGAACAATGTCAGTGGGTCACCCTTAAAAGATTAGACATAATACTGTTGCAGACTTTTTTAACAGAAGCTCACAGATGGAATTTTTTTGTTTTTTTATCAAACTTTTGGTGGTCCTATTAGTTCTAGCTTTATGTTATATAGCCTATAGCTTTTCTCAATACATGCACTATCCAACACAGAAGAGGTTTCAAATCAGATCTGTAGTTCCCGAGATTAGTGCATTCAAACAAACTCTTCTGCTTTTTATTATTAGTTTTGATTGTATTTACATGAATATACAAGTAAAAGTGTGACTTGACTATGTATGTATGCACTAAGGAAGCTCATACAATATAGTAGTAATAACATGGTGTTGTGAATGTGTTCTATTCTTTCTTAATGCATTTGCGCAATAATGTGTTATTATGAGTTATATGCTAATACATAAGTACTGTAACATAATCTAAAGGCACCATTATGTAGTAGTTAGATTGTAAAACAGACCCTAAATCTAAAGAAAAAATTACTTGTGATAAAAGGTTTATTTTTAATCCTGGTTTACTTTGTTTTGCAGCCTAAGAAATACTAGAAGAAATGCGACACAGCCATTAGGTTTAGTAGCATAATTAGTGATTGTATCTGCCCAGGTAGCGGTAGATGCAGGTTCAAACTCTGTCTACTGCTATTTTCTAGTAAAATTTTCTTTTTCAATTGCTTAACAAACCTGTCATACCTATATTAGGTATGACAGGTTTGTTAAGCAATTGAAAATACCTGAAATGATTCATTTGGCTTCTCAGATCTTCCTGCGAGGACTTCCACAAAAGCAACATTATGGGCACCAATGTGTATTTCTGAAATCTAATAGATAAAACAATATTTAATACACATAACAACATAATCAGACACATATTTAATGAATAATATTTTGGTGCAGGTGGAAAAAAATATTCCTAAATCATTATTAGTAGCTTAGTAGTGGAATAAGTGAACTTTCAGTTGTATCCCATGCATGACAGACACAGGATTATCAGGTCTTAAAGCTAAATAGCCAGAAAGACCTTACAGTTTGTCAGATGTTTCCATATAAATTTTAGTTTAAAAAATTAATACCATTTATTAAAATTTAAGAAGAAAACATCATATAAAATGCTGTGCAGGCACTGCCTGCATCAGGGTTGCTGTGACTTGTTTAGGACATGTCACGGCAGCATTATGCTGAGTCTGGGTCAATAACTTTAGTTTAATTAAATAACCTTTAGTGTTTTCTTTTGATTTTATTTTTGGTCAATAAAATCATTCTTACTCTCTAAACATGGTTGAAAAGGGTCCTAATTTTTTGTAATTAAACCTAAGCACAAATAAGATCTTTGAGTGTTTTGGAGGTCAAGCTTTCAAATATTAAATAAAAAGCCTGGCAAGGCTTATTTAGTTGGACTAGAATCAGTAATTATATTAAATTGTGTTATTTAATTAAGCACTTTAGAAGGAAGTTTTATAACATATATTTATATTACCTTAACTGCTTTTGCGAGCTGCAAAACTACAGAGCAGGAAGGTTCTCCCTTGGAGCACAACCAACGTTTTTTGCTTACTTCCCAATTCAACAGGTTGCTCGCCGGGTTATCCTGGTGGATTATGTACAATTTAGAGACAATAACGAATAAATTAATAATTAACTCGTAGTTATATTATTAATTCTGTGCTTATTACTGAATTTCTTTGTTTTTTTAATAACAATATCATAAAAATGAATTCATTATTAAAAATACTTACTGGATCTTCGCTGCTAAAGCTGACGATATAGTCAAGCTTTACTCGAGGCATAGTTTCTTACTGTGTTTTTACCATTTTAAATTAGCAGTAATCTAAATTGTTGCTCAAATTGGCAATATTTTTATAAGCGCGCGCGTTGCGCGTAATTTGAACGACGTTTTACTTTTTTTCTAGTTATTTTTTTTAAATTCTCTCACTAAGAACGCAAGAGAAACTAAGACCATACATCCTTATCTTCCATTAATTGTTAACTTTTCCAAATGCTTGTAACACAAAATAACAATACTTTTATATCACAGGATCATTTTAAACCCCTACAAATGAAAGTTCAATTACAGTACTCTATAAAATAGTATGATAAGACCAATCCTATACAATAGTTGATAAAGAACTATGCTGTTATTTATTTATTAGAGCAGCAGCAGGTTGCATGGATCAATCAGCTTTAATGGAAAAATGTTTCTAACGAGTTGTCAGTTACAAGCCGGAATATTGAAAATCATAAAAAGAAATTACGTACCTACCATACCAAAACTCACGTTTTTACGATTTACCATAGATTGAAAAAGCGTACGCTTTTCACTTCAATACAAACTGTTATGACTACGATAATAACTAATAAGTTCACTTTGCTGTTCATTCAGTTCAGGTTTTCGTTTTATAGATTACTAGCAAACCAGTGAACCAAATGTTCACCAAAATCTTAGGTTTTCACGCACATCACTCATTAAATAAAACTAGTTTTTACGGGTTAATGCACGAAACTTTATTTATTTATTGACGTTTCGCAGCCTTTTCAGGTCTGCATCGTCAGAATAATGATTTTTTATTTAAAATTGTCGAGCTACCTTCGAAAGACTTATATTGAGCGTTTGGATATTTCATTGGAAGATTTTTAAATTTTTTATTGTCTATGTATGAATTTATTATTTTCTTAATAAAGTATTTTATTTAAAATTCTTGTTTGTAATTTTGAGTTTATTTATTTGACCCTAACTACCGTAAACTACCACCGGTTCCAAAATTGGGAGACCTTGTTGAGAAGAACCGGCGAAACAAACTCAAGAGAGGCTTTCTATCTCCTTCTTATGTTAAATTATGCAAACAAAAAGAAGAACTAATAGTATCTGATGGTCTTGCAGTGTGTGCTCGGGGTTGGGATTTTATCTCCTGTATAATAGGTTCCCAAGCTGCTGGTATATACCAACCATCTTCTGCAACAACACAACAGCTGGTGTCTACAAACTTGAATGCGACTGTGGGCTCTCCTACATCGGGCAAACAAAGAGGAGTATAGGGACTCGGGTAAAAGAACATATCGCAGATATGAAACATAGGCGCGAAAATAAATCTGCAGTGTGTGAACATGCATTAGGGGGACCAAACCACTACATTAGATTTGATAGACCACAGATCCTTGCAGCTGAGCGGCGGTTCGTTCCTCGAATGATGCGCGAGGCTATTGAGATTAAAAAATATCCAAATTTCAATAGGGAAGATGGTTGGTATATACCACCAGCTTGGGAACCTATTATACAGGAGATAAAATCCCAACCCCGAGCACACACTGCAAGACCATCAAATACTATTAGTTCTTCTTTTTGTTTGCATATTTAACATAAGAAGGAGATAGAAAGCCTCTCTTGAGTTTGTTTCGCCGGTTCTTCTCTGGAAGGTCTCCCAATTTTGGAACCGGTGGTAGTTTACGGTAGTTAGGGTCAAATAAATAAACTCAAAATTACAAACAAGAATTTTAAATAAAATACTTTATTAAGTAAATTAAATAATAAATTCATACATAGACAATAAAAAATTTAAAAATCTTCCAATGAAATAACCGAACGCTCAATATAAGTCTTTCGAAGGTAGCTCGACAATTTTAAATAAAAAATCATTATTCTGACGATGCAGACCTGAAAAGGCTGCGAAACGTCAATAAATAAATAAAGTTTCGTGCATTAACCCGTAAAAACTAGTTTTATTTAATGTATTTAATTAATTGAGAACTTCGGAGATTTTGTGTGGTTTCGTTTGAAATTCGTGATTTCTCGAAAACCGGAAGTGCTACGTTATTCAAATCCGGTTTGTAGTCTTATCAGACTATTATTAACTTATAACAATTATATTTTATAATATTTTAAATGTCTTTTGTATGTTTGTAACTAATCTCGCAAAAAACTAAATGGTTTTGGATAAAATACCACCAATAAAGTTTATGACCTATTGATACATAGGATATTATTTATCCTGTAAAAATATGAGGTTCATGTGGGGTTCTCAAAAAACTAAAATTAAAGTGGACGTAGTAGCGGGGCGGTCGCTAAAAAAATCCATCCATCCAATCCAATTCAATTCAATGGACTGCGAATACAACCTACCCGATGTTTGTTTTTCAGGTCTGATTTTTTTAATAACAATTAAAAATGTAATGCGACATGCTAAAATAAACGAAAAAAATTGTGGAGACGTAATAACTTAGTTCAACAATATAAGTGTTGTTGACTCAATAACATGTAAATTGTGTATACGTACTTACTATATTTACACGTATGGAAAAATACGAGTAGATCCTTAGCAAAATTTGTACATTACGCTGTTTCTGTTCCTTATATAAATAAAAAAAGCGTGTTCGTCTCGGGACGCACGACGAAGTGATAACTTAAACCCAAGATAATAAAATTGACGTGTTGGTACGGTGTTTACGTTGTATCCCTTATGCCTGATATCTCCAAAAATAAAAAGAGTTTGGATGTCCATCGAAAGTATATCGTCCATCAATCTAATAATAATGATGAAAGGCGTCATGCGACCACAGTCTTTTTCCGGGTGGCTGGCAACGGCTAGCAGTTAATTTCATGTTCTCGCTCAATTGGGCTGTCGTCGCCGCCATAGAGGAAGGAAAGCCCACTGCCGCCTGTAGGTACCTATGTCGTGTTGGTCACGCGCAGTACCGAGTCACTTCAGTTCCTCACACTATGTATTTACATAATCAAACTAATGAATGTTTTCTGCAGTCGAATATTTGTTGCTCGAATATGACAACGTAATTACCTATGCAGAGTCTAATGCATTATTTAGCACGCAACGTATCAATACATCAAACACACGATGCACATCGACGATTATGTCAAAAGAATAAAGACCAATTTATTAAATACTGAAATACTTTATTTGCTCTAGGACATACATTTAGATAAATGCAGTGAGATAATAATTGAGAACGTTATCTAGAGGCTAAGCTAAGCTACACGTAACAATACCGAGAGAGCCTTAAATATGCGTACACACCGGCCGTCTACCGGTCTCTGATGACTCTGTACTTCTGCACTCTGATGATGACGGGCTCGGGTGCGGGGCGCGGCGTCGGCGCCGGCGCCCGCTTCTTGGCGGGGCGGCGGCGGTACGAGTAGCCGCCCTGGGGGTTGGGGCGCGCGTACAGAACGATAGGTTCGTCGGACTCGGTGCTGCTGTCGCTGATTATATCGTTCACGGACGACGCGTACTTGCTCGGGGGGTTGTACGGTCGGGCGTTCGCGCCCGCAGGATACACAAGGGAATTGTACGGGTGCGCATTGGCGCCCGCGGGGTACACTTGCGGGTTATACTGTTGCGGGTGCGCGCCCAAAGCAAACACGTGGGTACTGTACGGCGGTGTGTTCGTGCCGGCGGCATACGCTTGGGAGCTGTACGGCTGCGGGTTACTGTCGGCGGCGTACAGGGGTTGCGCGTACGCGGGCACGACCCCGCTGGCGGCGGCGCGCGCGTCGTGCGCGTCCGGGGTGAGCGGCGCGCGCGACATCACGTGCAGCATGGGGATGGGCGCGTGCAGGGAGATGGCGGCGAAGGCGAAGGGCTTGTAGCCGCGCGCGTGATGCCGCGCGTACGGGCCGCCGTCGCTGCGCCGCTGCAGCGCCGCCGGCAGGGGCTCGCCGCATGTGCATGCGCATAGGGTCACCATCAATAACGGCATCTGAAGTCAAGTGTATCACGTTGAATCTTAAAGTCATCATAACCGATTCTCATTCAGGAAAATACTAATTCCACGTGCTTTAGTTATAGCGTTATCATCAAATAGAGTACCGGAATTGCCCTCTTTACACACGCTTTGATTAGTAGTGATTAATTAATGCAAGTGTTAAGTGATTAGCAGGTTTTTCATTAGATAGATAACTACTTCAGTTCGAGTGTTTAGCATTTAATGTTTTGAGTGTAAAGTGTGTGTTAAGAAGACAGTTCTGTTTTATAGGAACTACCCGCTCTCTGACATGTCCGCTCTACATGTCCCACTAGCGACTGTCTACAAGCTGGTCGTTTTGATGCAGTAGGTTTTCTATACATATACACTATGATAGAGACTAGAAATACTACAAATGTACTAAAAGTGAACACTCGATACTTAACACTCCACACACACAAATTAAAGTGCGAACACTGAAGCTATCAGACACGAGATACATCAAACAAATTTAATGCAGGTCACTAATGAATCGCTTAAGGTCCTAATTTATTAAAGAGACAAATAAAGTTTCTGAGAGCAATTGTTAAATTATATTAGAGCAAACACGGATATTCTAAACAACCGCTGTAAATATAAAATTTAACGGGTTAAACGGGGACTTTATTAAAGGATTTCGTATCTTCATTATGCGTAAATCGTGTCGACTGACGCATTGCTGCTATGTCTTTAACGAAGTTAGTTTTAACTAGTTACATTTATAATAAAACGCGAAAGTTTCAAAGTGTTTTTAACTGTTGTAAATTGTAGGATTAAACTGATGGTGGGTATAACTCACATATGAGTCCATGTCGTGTGTCGGTCGGTGTCCGGGTGTCCGTCTGTCCGTCCGGCGTGCGGGAGCGTGCGGCCGGTACTGCGGAGTGCGCCGGCGCAATTCTAACGCATCACAACTTTCAGCTTCAGTGAGTGTTGGGGGTATGACACATATATAGAGCTGTAAAACAGGTAACAATCTATCTATGTATATAAAACTCAAAGGTGACTGACTGACTGACATAGTGATCTTTCAACGCACAGCCCAAACCACTGGACGGATCGGGCTGAAATTTGGTATGCAGGTAGATGTTATGATGTAGGCATCCGCTAAGAATGGATTTTGATCAATTCTACCCCCAAGGGGATAAAATAGGGAATGAAAGTTTGTATGAAACTTTGTCAATTTTAAAC